CTTTGTTTAGTGCGGCGGCGGAGCCGGAAGAGACGAATGTCTCTGCACTGGTGTAGCCCTGGCCAGGGAGCAAGATGAGGTTATTCTTGGCGCCTGCTTGACGGATTGCCGTTACAGCGGCCTGGACAGTGGTGGCCCAGCGCTCAATGTCGGGGATGTCCTGGGAACTATTGTCAACTTGAGGGATATTGCAGGAGATATGCTGCGACTTACATGGGGCTCGTTCATGACACCGAAAGCAATCTGAGAGTGACTGCCGTACTTCTTGGCAAGTTGCGTCCATATGTCTGCCAACTTTGCGTCGTCTGGGCCGCCCTGGCCAATGATCTGGCCGTTCCATCTTGCGTAGTTGTGGAGATCAAGGATACACAACTGAGCACCAGAGTTCAAACAACCCTGGACAAGAGTATCGTATTGGCCGGCGTTGTTTGAATCCAGCTTGCCTCCAAGCTGGTTGTTCAGCAAGTACTGCCATCCAACGGGCAGGCGGAAGGCGTTGAGTGTGTCGTCCTTGACAAAGTGGTTCATCTGAGCAATGCCGGTACCACCGCTAATGAAGTTGTATGGCTTGTTAGTTCCTGTTAGAGCACAGCTGCCGTCGGTGGTGCAGCCGAAATCGAATCCAGCCATGTTTACACCTGCGTACTTGACTTTCGAAGCTCGCGGTGTAACATTAGCAGGGGCAGCAGCCACGAGGGCTGTTCCGGCGAGGGCGGTGATCAATGTAGCCTTCATGATTGTGTGGCTGAAAATATCCGGTCGGCTGTGAGGAGTATGAAACGAGTGGAAGCGTGAAGATGCCTTGGTGATTCAGGAGAGTTGCGAGCTTTATATACACATATGCAACGATGAGGTCGTTTCTGTCATGTGTCGTGTCTAATCCCGTGGAACATTGCATCACATTGTTAAGTGCACTATCGTCTGATCCGTCTAAGCAAAACATCGGCAGATTGATTTCTAGCCCCGTTTGGCAATTGACAGGTCGAATGTGGATACCAAAAGATTGTCAGGCACTACCGGGCCAGACTTCTGTCTTGTTTCATTGGTCCTGAACCTGGTGGAGACGACGACTAGGTGATATGTTATGCAAAAATATGAAAAGGCGGGTCTGCGAAGACTTCGCTTGGGAAAGCTTGGTCAGGCTTCGAGAAGCTTGGAGTCGGTAGATTGATTATATTAACTTCAAACGTGCGTTAGTCGCAATCTAGTAGGAATCTTCCAAAACATGGACAGGGGTCAGAGCAGAGATGACGCGGCTGACACGTTGAAACTGCCACTAGCAGCGCCTTATTGGGAAAAGCTTAAGGAACTTGGCTAAAATCCGGGGTTGTACTTGACAACGGTAATCACGCGCGCAGAGTCGTATCACTGGTAAACGCAATGTTGCGAGCAATGATGTATATATTTTGGTCTCGAGAATGATTATGTGTATATACTTGGGATTGATTATGCGATGAGAATATTCGACAAAGATACCAAGTTAATTGACAATATTGATCAATTGCTGTCCTTAATGACTGACTCGGTAACCTTGACTTAAAGGTGCGACAAAGCATCAAGGTTTCACGCTTGGCTAAACTGCCGGGCCGTCGATCCACCACCACTGACGACGAGACCGATCGATTCGCATCAATAACACCAATGCGGTCTCCACGGAGTTTCGATCAAATTGCGGAGTGCATGGATCGTTGTGGCGCGGGCTACTGGCGATTGTTTGTTTGAGGGCTTAGAGAGATTGGCTGGGAGGCAAGTATCCGCACAAAATTCAGAATTTGTGGGGAAGCGGACAAGGCACGTTTGACAGTGGGGGGCGGAATGGGATGCTCCAGAAGACGAAAGTTCTAGGATTGGATATTGGCGGGTCCGGAACTTCGGAGCGGCACCCTCTAGTAGCTAGATTGTGCGCGAAAATGTAATTGTTTAGATTTACGCTATTCCCACAAGGTGTGAGCAAGCTCATGATTTTGGGCTTATTTCGGAAGCTTGTATCTAGGTAAAGTGGTGGTGTTAGGTATTTGAACAGTGGTGCGTATACGTTGGTTCCGCGGCTCTACAGACGACATACAAGTCGTACGTAAGACGGGATTTTCTTTCGCCTCCCGGATCTGGCGGAACTCCCGCCCTTATTGGCATCGATTGTTTGTTATTCTTTCCCAAAGGTGTGACCAGAACCCTCCTGTTCCTCGTGAGGTTTCCGGTCCTTGGCGTCATTATCTGCTTCTGCGTCCAGCTACCTCCTTGAGGAAAATATACTTCATTCTCTGCTCTACTCTGTCAAAACCTACGCTGCCTCAAATGTTGAGCTATTCCAGCCATATACTCTTCTCAGTCGTCCAGAGAAGACCAAAAGAAGCCGTCCTTCAATGATTCCCTGGTGTGGCCGATGCAATGTTATACCCCTGCGCACTACTGTCTTATCCGAAGGGACAAACGTGTATATCGAGCCAAGCTTGGGTTCACATGAGAAGCCCAAGTCATTCATGGCAGCTACAAAGGGTTCCCATCGAACTGGGCTACGAGCTGTAGACGATCTCGAGAATAACGATAAAAAGACGTCAGCAGTGGAGGGTTTGACCTTGAAAGTTTCTATTGATTGAACGGGCGGGTCGTCTTTGGCGCTTTGTGGTGTGATCTCGTATATTGAAGCTTGACTTGGTCGCGTCTTTTCCTTCTGTTTGCGCTGCTGGACAGGCGATTCTGAGCTCTCGGGAGCTGCTAGCATCGTGCCTTGAGTTGGAACTTTAGACTTAGCCTTCTGTACTTCATGCTGCTCATGGATGTTGGACACACAGCTTTCGACTAGATCTTCATAGAGAAAACCAAGTTTCGTGCCGGTCTTCTCTACGATGTACTCATCTAGTCTTCCAAGAGCGCCTTCAGCCATGCCTGGTTCGAGCAAGTTGTCGATTGGAATGGCGAAGTCACTGAGGTCCAGACCATTTTTCGTCTCTCTGAACTCTTTGTCTAAAGCTGTGTAGCCAGATACAAATGGTTGTTTCTTCTTGTGATTAGGCGTAGGCAACTGCGCGACTGAGGAAAGAGACTGGATGAAGGTAATTATCATCGCAAGGTCGCCCAGAGAGTCATACTCTCGTTCTGAAAGGTTGTCTTGCTCCAGTGGATGGGCTCGGTGGAGGTCCGCCAGCTTTTGAAGCCATTGTGTAGCATTTGACCAGTTGGTCTCATCCTGACAAAGCCGAAGCATGTAATGTAGTTGGGGGTTCTCTACCATCAAAGACTCGGGATTTCGTTTCAATGAGAGGCGCGCGATGTCGTTTGTCGACGTGCGCTTGAACCACTTACTGCCGCCCATACCAACAGCTAGGCTGCGCTTGAAACTAGTCTGAGCGCGCAGATACTCCAAGTGGCAGGTATTTGAGAGCTCTTTAAGAACAATCGCTTTGAACTGCTTGTCTGTTGACTCCTTCAGCAGATCCACGAGACGGCCAATGTAATACCATGTAGCAGCAATCTTCACTGCGCCATGGACCGCCTCCAGCACAGCACCGCTAATGTATTTGTCAGTATGTACAGGCAGCATGCGTCCTTTCTCATCGGCGACCAGCTCCGGTCGGCTGAAGAAAGAAAAGTTGACTTCATGAGTTAGAACTGTGGGCTCAGTCGAAATAAGAGCAACCAGATCCTCGCAAGACGACAGGCGGTCTTTCGCCATGTCTACGAGATCCACGAGCTCTACCTTTTTCGGAGGTGAGTGTATTGACAACTTTGCCAGGGCTGCAGTTGTATCCTCTTTGACCTTCTTTGGCTGCTCCGTCCGAGCTCGAGTGGTGGACGCAGTATCAAGGATGTCTTCGATTGCAATGTTGAGAAGCTGCAGCAGGTTTATTTGTCGCATCAGAATGAGCTCTCCGGTGGCCTGGGGTACGATAAACCCGGCCTGCATGGCTGGTTTCATGTTCGCAAGAACTTCTTGCTTCTCAGCAAGAATCTTGACTGATTCGCCGTACCCGTCTTCCGTCAAGAAAAGTGTATAACAATCCTTATATTGGGAGACGTCATTTAGTCTCAGATTCTTTCTCTGCATCATATCAAGTATGTGCGCATGATCTCCCGGTCGCCCATTGAAGCCAGTCGTGTATTGTGTTTGCAGCGGTGAAGTTGCCCGGTGCTTGAGCATGTCGAGGAAGAAGTTTGATGATGGTGAAGTAACGTCACGTAGATTCCATTCGGGAATGAACTTGTAGACATTCTCTAGGCCGGTGTCTTCAGTATGCTTCAGGACAGCACCATCATGAGAGCCAGCCTCCATGATCTTTTTGCGTTGTTCCTGACTGAGCGAACGCCACATTTCTTCGACCCGCTTGCCATGCTGTCGGTATTTCCTGGCAAGATCGTCGTGTAATTCTTTGACGGATTCGTTCATTGTGTATCTGTGAAAAATCGAGTGATGAGAGATGTAGTTGCTTCAATATGTTTGGTTTTGATGCGGGGACAACAGTATCACAGTGCCATGCTATACCGCATCCAGATTAGGGTGGTTTATCGGAAGCGATCGGAAATATCGGGACGTTCCGAAGGGAAGTTGGCCGTCAATCTCGGCCATCAACAAAGCCTGATCAGTTACCACTCTCAGTGAGGTATCACTCAAGAGATAACTGCTGCTTACCGGAGCTGAACTGAATCTATCTTCATCTTCGATATGAAATAATCCAAAGAAGTGTTTTGTTTTGGCGGATTGAGTTTTTAGTCACGCTGTTGCACAATCCCAGCATTGAGATTGTTCTGCCTTCCTTTGCACTTATCACTCTCTCAAGTACTTCACCTAACCTACCGAGCAGTAGGTTTTCAGAGAGATTTTTGTTGAGAGGCAGTAGTCTTACGGAACGAAAAAAGGGTACCAGTTGTGCGCAGAGAATTTGATGTGACTACGGTGTATATTCCAAGAATCAAGATCGCATGATATATCTGAATGAGCGGAAGTAGTACTTCTACCTGATAGAGGTAGAATATGATATGATAAGAAACTAATGGAAGGCCCCTTACTGCTTGCTACCCTTATCTTTCATGACAGTCGTATGCAATTCTGCCCTCGGTTGCCCCTCATCCAACTCGTGCGTTACCTCATGTTCCCTATATGGCTGCACATAACTCATCTGGGGATACTTTTCAACTGTCACCGGGCTCACCTGGTGCTCGGGTGGCACATAGGCACTATACCCTACCACGTTCTGCGACTTGGACTTCTTTCGCCGACGGATAAGCAGCCACGCAAGGATACCTACTGAAATGACTGCGACTCCGCATCCCACGCCGATTCCTGCGGTGGCGCCAGGAGACAGGCGAGTAGATGGAGGTGGTGCTGGATGCGGGATCAGAGATAATTATGGTGGCGTTGAGTCCGAGCTCGTAGATGTGGTACTAGTCTCAGACGCAGAAGAAGTGGTGATAGAGCTTGTGGACTCCGGATACATCGTAGAAGACGTAGCAGGTGAACTCGTATTCGTCAAATCCCACCAGATTGCGGAAGCAACTGAGTCGGCCTCGCTGGCATCCTTAACCTCTCCTGTCATGGGATCGACGAAGTATGTTGAGCCAGTATCGCAGCACCTACTCGACGAACCGTGGCAATATATATTGTCCCCGCAATATTTCACCTCTATCCACTCGCTCCGAATTTCTAGGGGCCTGATTTAGTGGATCCGTTGCGAAGTGGTGGGTATTGGACATTACCTGGCGCAACCAGGGAACAGTTAGTCCAGCCACGGTCAGAGCAATAACCAGTGCTGTAGACATCGTAGATAGGGTCATGACAAAGTAGGTTGCTGCCACATTTTTCACCGGCAACACAACAGTTGTTTGTACCCCCACCGCAGGAGAAGGGTTCAAAGTTGCGCTGTTATGGAGATTCGCTTGCCAAAAAGCCTAAGTAATGTTTAGCTCGAGTTGCTTGTAGCCTGTTTGGGTTATGTCTATACATACTATCTTTAAGGTAGCAGTCAGCACGGACGCTTCGCAGGTGTACATCCGCCAATATAGCAACAGAAAAGATCCAAGACCCGTGATATGACATTGTGAGTAAGGCAATTTGCTTCAAGGTGAAGATTAGAGGTAGAAGTCGCTGGGGTGCGATGAGGGGGGATTTCTATCTTACAATGCGCTTCGCGTAGCGTACCATGCGCCATCAGAAACCAAACTTCCAGAGCACCTCAGCTCTAAATGTACGGCTTTCAAGAAAAACGGGTCTCGTTTAGCGGACAGACCAAAGATGTGGCAGTTGTGGCGCCAATCTCAACCTCTGATTGGTGTAGCCAAGCGAGGCTGAGTACTCAGGAGTACTCAGCCTTACGGCTGAAGGACGACTTGGAGGAAAAAAGAATATAGCATGATAGTATGCTGAGATCATTCCACTGTTTGACTTTGGAGTGAAGACCACTAACCGCTCGTTGGTGGTACGCTGGTGTAAGTCTCAGATGTCGAAATTGCGACATAAGTTGTTTACCAGTGCATTTTGCGAAAACTTTATCCACCATTTTACAGTAACACCATATCGCTCATCCTGTTTCTTGAGGGCCACAGGCAAGTCCGGTAAGAGCCAGCTGGTCCAGAATCATTCCATATCTACCTACTCATGGACTTGTTGTCTCCGTGTCGCAATCAATCCAATATGAGCTAGATCCACCCAAACCGCCACCAATATTGTGGTTATGTTCACGATTGAGCTGAGCTTTACTGGAACATCGGATCTGCTCCTCGAGCTTTATCTTCAGCTTTATTGCATAGTTGAGGTCAATCTATATATTTTCGAGCACCCATCCTAACCAGCACAAGTACTGATACAATGAACATACTTTTCTGCAAAATCAACATCTACCAAAGGCGCCGGGAATTGGGAAGAACCTAGAACGTTATCCTTCAAGGGCGGTCCAGTAACCATAGCAGTCGCGCCTTTGTCGTCAACAACAGCGTCGATCAGCGCTGTGATGCGGGCAATCAGACTCGACCTGTGGGCCATTGCATAGTCGAGAGCTTTTTCTCTCCAAACGAGAAATGGCACGATTTGCTGGCCAGTACTTGCGTCACTCATGAGCTGGAAGAAGTGGCTAAAGGTGGGTGCATGCGCATTGGCAAAGTCGTAGTTTTGGCCGATGAGATGCAGGTCCTTGGTCATCATGGTAACTATGGTCTTGGACAGATAGTCAACAGGTAACACGGCGGCAAGGTTGGCGTCGATGGATGGGAAAAGACCCATTTCCACACAGCCGGCGATAAAATGATGTAGAAAGTCACCGCGGTCGAGGCGGAAGCGACCAGTGGTAGATGATGCGGTGACAAAAGGCAGGCGGTAGACGGATACTTTGGCACCACGCCAATGTGCCGCAGCCATCATGCGCTCAGCCGCATATTTTGACGTAGCATATCCATATTCCTGATCTCCTTCTTTCACGTCGTAGCCCATGTACTTGGGTATTGTGGACATTGTGGAAATAAGATGGATTGCTTTAGCCTTGCCCTGCGAGGCCAGGCGCAGCACTTCGTGCGCGCTCACTATATTGGGTCCGACATAGTCTTGGAGCGGGCGCATCCAGTCTACGAGTGCGCCTGAGTGACATATGGCATCTACGTGATCTGCAAGGAAATCAAAGCTGTGTTCGGGCAAGCCAAAAAGAGGTTGGGACATATCTCCTACAACAGGGTGGAGAAGTGGTGCATATTCCGAGTTCCAAAGGCTGTAGCTGGCCAGGGTTGCCGTCAAACGTTCCATAGCTTCGTCGTCGGTCTCGGCACGTACTAAGCAGTAGACGGCAGTGCCAAGCTCCAACAGGTCATGAGTAATGTGAGCACCAACAAAACCCGTGGCACCCGTGATGAACACATTCGAAGGGGTTGTAGGGGCCTTGAATGTATTCTTAAAAGTGAAGCTGGGATCGACACAACCTCTCTTGATTGCTTCGAGGTCAAGAATCGGGACCATGTCAGACATGAGTGTGGTAGTGGCGGTGCTACTCCCAAGCGAGGAACCAGATTCGCTGTCATCCAAGTTCAGGTCGGACAGCAAGGTCTGAGCGAGGGCTTTGAGGTTGGGATGCTGGAATGTGATGTTGGCGGTCAATGGCATGCCCGTCAAGTTAGCGAGTTGATTGCGTATCAAAACAGCAGTCAACGAGTCGATGCCAATATCCTGAAGAGGCTTATCGACATGGACGTCACTAGGTTTTGTGAAGCCCAATGCTTTGGCCACAGTGTTTTGAAGCATGCTCAACATGAGATGAGGGCGTTGCTCGAGGTCTGCATGGAGTAACTCCTTACGCAGATGGTACCCTGGAAGCAGTTGTTGCACACCTGTGTTGCCACCGCTGAGGAGAGAATGCAGGAACGGAGGGCTTTCGCCTCGTTCCTGGTGATAGTTCTTCAAACGAGGCTGGTCCAAGGCAGCGGCGACAGTCAGAGTTCGATGACTGCGCACAGCGTGTTCAAGTAACGCCAAACCGTCTTCCGGGGCAAGCAAGTCAAGGCCAGATTGAGCGAGACGTGCTCGAGTGGGACCGATGATGTTGGCTGCCATGCCATCACCCTCCCAGGGGCCATAAGCTACAGACGTGGCGGGTAGACCTTGGGCACGACGCAAATATGCCAAGGCATCCAAGAAGGTGTTTGCTGCAGCGTAGTTGGCAAGCCCAGACATACTCAAGACGCCCGATATGGACGAAAACATGATAAAGAAGTCAAGGTTGAGATGCTGGGTTAGTTGGTGTAGGTGCCAGGCTCCGTCTACCTTGGGAGCAAAGACGGTGGCGCATCGCTGCGGCGTCAAGGCCTGGAGGACGCCATTGTCTTGGGCGCCGGCGGCGTGCACCACGCCGCGTAGAGGTGTCTTGCCATTGTCAAACATGGCCATGAGTTGCTGGACGCTCTGGCAATCCGCCATATCACAAGCAACGACGGCAGCTTCTGCACCTAGCGCAGCAAGATCATTCACGAGCGCCTGCGCACCCGGCGCTGCCATTCCACGGCGCGAGGTCAACACCAGACTACGTACGCCATGTGTGCTCGCCAGCCATCGCGCAACTCTTGCACCGAGATCACCTAACCCGCCTGTGATGATAACGGCTCCATCTGGACGGACCATAGGTTGTTGCTGCTGAACAGGGGGTGGCAGTTCTTGTGGTAGAGAGATAGGTTGTAAACGAGGCACTAGGACCTGTCCGTGGCGCACTGCGCATTCAGGCTCCATTCTGAGCGCCAGCGCCGCCGCGAGAGCATCAACGTCGATGCCATCGTTGTCATTGTTGTCTTCGTAGTGGTAGTCAACGTCGATGAGGCGCAGAGGCAAGTCGGGATGTTCGCTGCGGGCCGTACGCATTAGGCCCCATAACGGCCCGGCGGCCAATCCCGCCCCTTCATGGTGTTCGTCACGTGCATTCACGCTAACACCGACCGCTTGGCGCGTCACCCATACCAGCTGTGGTATGAACTGTGTGCTCACGGCATCCTGCAACTGTGCCAGCCCCTTGAAGGCCAGTTCTCGTGCCTGGCCTGCGACATCATCAGAGTCCGTTTCTGCGTTCCACAGACACAGCACCCCGTCAAGCCCTCGGCCATCTTGCAGCCGCTCAATCCTGTGGAGGTTCAGACCAGCAGACACCAGGCCCGCTTCCACTTGTCTTACCCACCCTTGCTTCTTATCTGAATTCGTACACAGCAAGCCCCATGAGCCGCCTTTGGTCAGATTCGAAGTATCAGCCTGCTGCCATGATACTTCAAATGCAAGTCGATCCACAGCACAGAGAGTCTGGTGCTGGCTCTGGCCGTTTTGTTGTACACTACTAGCATTGAAATCGCCACGAGTATGAGGAAAGTGTTCTCGCTGGAATGCATATGTCGGCAGCTCCACCCACTCACAGTAACCCAGAGGCTCAAAGTATGTATGCCAGCTTATAGGTACCATGCGCTCGTGCATCTCTGCAAGGCTACTTTGAATCGTCCACGTGCCAGGCTTCCGGGTGGTTAGTGATGGTAACCAGGCAACTGATTGATCGGCTCCAAGGCACGCCGCTCCCAGTCCGGTCAAAACAGCTTGCGGCCCCATCTCAAGAAATATGTTAACACCCTGCTGATCAAGTGTCTGGATGCCATCCGCAAAACGCACGGCGTCGCGTGCCTGTGAAACCCAATAGTCTGGTTGTTGGAGCTCATCCGCCTCAACGAGCTTGCCGGTCAGGCTGCTCACTATGCGCAACTTTGGTGGGTGGAATTGTACACTCTCAGCCACAGCTTGAAATGCTGCGAGCATGCAGTCCATATGGTGCGAGTGGAAGGCGTGCGATACATCAAGTACGTTCTTCTTGCGTCCCAGACCAGTAAAGTGTGTCACCAACTTGTCAACAGCGTCACAATCGCCAGATACCACAGTTTGCGTTGGCGTGTTGTGGCCTGCAATATCGACCTTGTAGACAACCCCAATGGTATCCATCGCTCTTGAAACCTCTTCTGCACTGGCCTCTAATGCAACCATACTGCCACGGATTGGAACAGCCTGCATCAACCGACCACGTGCGGCGACCAAACGACAAGCGTCTGAGAGGTCCAAGATCCCACTGACATGCGCCGCTGACAGCTCTCCTACACTATGACCGAGGATGTAATTCGGTCTTACACCCCAACTTTTCCAAAGATGCCAAAGAGCCACTTCCAATGTGAAGAGGGCGGGTTGTGCAAAATCTGTGCGCTGCAATAGTGCAGCAGCCTCGCTATGTGGAGCGGCGTGCATTACTTCCCTCAACGGCATCTCTAGTTCGGTAAAATGATCCGCTATATTGTCTATAGCGTTGCGGAAAACGGGGTAGATGTCGTAAAGATCTTTTCCCATACCAGCAACTTGGCTTCCCTGGCCAGTGAAAAGAACAGCTATACATGGATCGGCCGTATGTTCACTTGTCGCCGCCGTGGAACTCAGTTTATATATGAGCTCTGCCTCATCTTTGGCCATGACTACTCTTCGCCGTCGGTAATGGTTTCTCGTAGTCGCTAATGAGAAAGCCACATCCTTTAGTTGATCTGCATTAATTTCTTTTGCACTCTCAATGTATCGTCGCAGCTTCTCGGCCTGTTGGCGAAGAGCGGCATCGGTGTGGCCTGAAAGTAGGAATGGGAATCCAGCTGACAGTGAGACGGGCAACGGGCGCAAAACCTCATCATTAGGCGGAGCTTCTTCTATGATAACATGGGCGTTGGTGCCGCCAATGCCAAAAGCACTAATACCTGCTCTTCGAGGCCGATCTGCTTGTGGTAGCCATGGCTGAGGTTCTTGTACAAGCGCCATGTGAGCACCCTGCCAGTCCACTGCTGATGTCGGCTTTTCAGCATATAGAGTCCGGGGGATTTTGTCGTGTTTCATCGCTAGAATGACTTTGAGCAGTCCTGCCAAGCCAGCTGCCGCTTGTGTATGCCCAATATTCGACTTTACTGAACCGATCCACAGTGGCTCGGATTCAGTTGATCGACTTCCGCCAAACACTTCGGCCAGGGCTGTTCCCTCAATGGGATCTCCCAACTTAGTTCCGGTGCCGTGAACTTCGACGTAATCAATATCGCTAGGTGTCAGATTTGCTGAAGCTAATGCTGTGTGCACAAGTCGCTGTTGTGCGATTCCACTCGGCACTGTCAAACCTGGGGCGCTTCTTCCTCCATGATTCACAGCGGTGCCTCGAAGAAGCGCGTGGATCTTGTCACCATCTCGAACAGCATCGCTCAAGCGCTTCAACAGCACCATTGTGCACCCTTCAGCCCAGCCTGTCCCCTGTGTATCCTCTGCAAATGCTCTGCATCGCCCATCAGGAGACATGCCTTTGAGCTGGCTAAACTCGACGTGCATTCCAGGAGTGAGCAAAAGTGTGATTCCACCAGACACGGCCATATCGCACTCCCTTTGGCGAAGTGCATTATACGCCAGATGTGTCGTGACAAGAGACGACGAGCACGCTGTGTCGACCGTGAGGGCTGGTCCTTCGAGGCCAAGGACGTATGACAGGCGACCAGACATAGTGGCTCCTGCTGAGCCTGTTGCATCATACCCACCAAGCTCCTGCAAACACGGCGCCGTCGAGTGCGCTGGGATGCTGCACACACCCATATAAACACCTGTGCGGCTACCTCGCAGCTGCCTATCTGTATAGCCAGCCCGCTCAAAGCCTTCCCAGCACGTCTCCAGCATGATACGTTGCGCAGGATCCATAGCCCGTGCCTCTTTGGGCGAGATGCCGAAGAACGATGCATCAAAATTATCGACAGAAGCAAGAAATCCACCTCTTCGGCAGTACGATCTACCTGGAGTGCCTGGGTTAGGATCATGGAGGGCCTCAGCATCCCAGCGGTCTTTTGGCACGTCGGTTATGACATCGGCACCACGCTCCAAGATATCCCAGTACTCTTCCGGGGACGAGACTTGACCTGGCAACCTGCACGCCATCGATACAATAGCAATATCCTCGTTATCTGGCCTTAGGCGGTGATCCTGTGAAGTGGCAGGGTCCGGTGTGGTTTCGCCCTCCCCTTCTAAGTATGCCGCTAATGTTTTAATACTGTAATGTTGGAAAAGCCGGGCTGGAGATAATTTCCAGCTAACTAATTTCTGCACATGCTTTTGCATTTGGACTACCCGTACAGAGTCGCCGCCTATCTCGAAGAAATTATCCTCAGGTCCGATGCAGTCGTGACCCAGAACTCTTGACCAAATCAGCTGAAGTTTGCCCTCCATATCGGTCAACGGTCTGCTGATCTTGCGCTGCACTGCAATCTTTGGATCTGGCAGGGCTTTTCGATCAATCTTGTTGTTTGGTGTCATAGGAAATGTCTTGAGGCTGACAAAGAAGGCTGGCATCATATACGCTGGTAGAAGCTGCGCTAACCATGGACGCAGTAAGCTTTCAAGTGTCGGTTTCGCCTCGGTTTCGTGACTGCTATCGCCGTCCACATTTATGCAGTACGCTATCAGTCTGTCGTCTCTGCTAATTACGACAGCGTCTAGGATATCACTGTGGTCGGTTATTGCTGCCTCGATGTCGCCGAGTTCAATCCGATGACCTCGTATCTTTACTTGCCCATCAGCGCGGCCTAATACGATCAACCTGTCTGGACCATCGAACTTGGCTATATCACCGGTACGGTATATAAGACCGCTGTGGAAAGGGTTTCGAACGAAACGCGATTGGGTAACTTCGGGCATGTTGCGGTACCCATTAGCCAAGCTTACTCCGCCGATGTATAGCTCGCCAGCAGACCCAAGGGGTACAGGCTCAAGGCTTTCACCAAGCACATAGAGTCGGTAATTGGCGATGGGCTTTCCAATGACCACATCCTTGCCTGGATATACTTTCCAGATGCTTGCCCAGACTGTTGCCTCAGTTGGGCCATACATGTTCCACACTGACTCTGCACACGACAGTAGCCGGTCGGCCAGCCTACGAGACAGTGCTTCGCCACCACACAATATCCTGGAGAGACGCGGCTCTCCCTTCCAGCCAGCATCCAGCAGCATTTGCCACGTCGCAGGTGTTGCCTGCATCATGGTAACATCGTGTTGCCGAATCAATCCGAGCGTGGCCTCTGGATCCTTGACCTCGTGCGCCTGGGCCATGATCATTGTCGCGCCACATAGCAATGGAAGAAACACTTCTAATGCTGCAATGTCGAAAGATATCGTTGTGATGGCAAGTAACCGATCTGTTTCCGCGCATCCTGGCTCCCGCTGCATTGCGCACAAAAAGTTCGATAGCGCTCCGTGGCTGATCTCAACGCCTTTTGGCTTGCCGGTAGAGCCAGAAGTGTAAATCACGTATGCGAGATCTTCTGCCTTTAGGTCCACATTTATGCTGCCTATCTGAGACTTCGATTCGGTCATCTCGTCTCGTGTCTCGTCAAGATCCAGCGTTGCGCACCCCCAGGATTGAGAAGCAAGTCGTGTGCTGGTACCGACAATGACAAGTATCGGGCTTGCATCTTCGATCATGTGTCTGATGCGGTCTGTAGGGAAGTCTGGGTCGATGGGCATGTAAGCTGCGCCTGTCTTCATGACGGCTAGCAGCGCTACGACGAGGTCGATGGAACGGTCCAGGGCGATGCCAACGACCTCGCCGCGCCTGATGCCTCGGTTTACTAGAATGCGGGCAAGTTGTGTTGCGAGTGTTGTGAGTTTTCCGAATGTTACTTTCTCCTCGCCGCATATCATTGCAATCTTTTCATGATGTCTTTCAGCGGTGTTTTGGAGAAGACGAGGTAGGCTGTGTCCGAGGATGGTGGTATCGAGCGTGTCATTGTATCGCTCAATGATGTCTTGGTAATCTTCAGGTGAGATAGAATTACTCATGTTTGACGGCCTTGTATCTTGCCGATGTGAAGTTGAAGGGGGCGGGATAGAATTTTCAAGGATAGCCATTGTTTAACGGACTATGGGAAGTGAATGAGAAGTTTCTTTGGTTTGACGTCTAATGTATGACTGATCACTCAGTTGGGGTGATGCTGAAGCTATAGGAGCACCTTGTACGATCTCTAATCTTCAGAGAGCAGTACACGATTTTGTAATGTCAGTTTCCAACCATATTCCTCGATGGTAAAGATCAAACGTGGCCCGACTCCGATGACCTAAACAGGCAAGACGACTATTCCGTGCCTCCATAGACTAGCTCCTGGGTCGGTTACAGGATCGTGGATCGACGATCAGCAAACCGGACCTGCTTATGCGAATTAGTCTCCGATAGTCGGTGATGACAAGATCGGTGCCCATTCCTTCTCCGGCTTTGCAGGAGGCAAATCACTCACAGATTCTCGCAATGTATTTCGGACCTTTCAAGCGTTTTCCTACTTGGTGTTTCTCGTCAAGACGTCTGGGTTGCCCAGGAGCTCTTTCACTTTATCATATCGACAGTTTTGATCATTAGGTCTCATCATCGAAAGGCATACTTCTATTTTCTCTCCATTCTGAACGTACTCATTGGAATACTTCATTTCAGAAGACCTCTACCAGTACTCCTTACGACTGTCACCATGCAAGTAGCAACCGAAATTCCGGTCCCTGCTCCGTTTACGGATGGTTTACGGACTGCTCCGTCAGAAGAACCCTGGGACTTCTCTCTTGGTCTCAATCCCACCAATCTCAAGCCTCAAACCAAAGGAGAAATCTCAATGACTATTGAAAGTTCTGGAGAGCTGCAGCCACCCTTTGCCGATTTGGCATGGGCATGCAACAAAGAAGCATCCAGCGACTTCCGCTCCGATTTCTTCACCAAGCCCACACTACCCATGCTCGAAGCCATCATCAACACATCCCTCGGCGATGGCGACATGGACGAGGACAAAACCACTAATTCCTTCCAAGACTACGTCGCCGACCTAGTAGGCCACGAGGCCGCCCTCCTCGTCGTCTCCGGCACAATGGGCAACCAAGTGGCCCTCCGCTCCGCCCTCGGCGCACCACCACACTCAATCCTCGCCGACCACCGCGGCCACATCATCATCCTCGAAGGCGGCGGCGCCTCCAGCCTCTTCGGCGCAATGATCAAACAAGTCGTCCCATCAAACGGCCACCACCTCACCCTCGCCGACATCAAAAAACACGCTACCACCACCACAACCGTGTACGACTGCCCCACCCGCATCATCAGCCTAGAAAACACCCTCTGGGGAACCGTCATGCCGTTGGCAGAAATCCGTGCTATTTCGCACTGGGCTCGCGCTCAGAACCCGCCTATCCATATGCACCTCGACGGCGCCCGTCTGTGGGAAGCAGTGGCGGCTGGAGCCTGTACATTGCGCGATATGGGCGAGTGCTTCGATAGCATCCAGATGTGCTTTACCAAGGGTCTTGGAGCCCCTATTGGTAGCATCGTGACAGGGACTTCTACGTTTATCCAGCGAGCGAAGTGGAGTCGCAAGCTGCTGGGCGGAAGTACGCGGTCGTCTGGTGTGATTGCTGCGCCGGCTCGTGTTGCTATTGATCAGGTTTTCCTTGCCGGGAAGTTGAAGGCTGCGCAGGATAAAGCGGCACGGGCGTCACGGCTGTGGGAGCAGTTGGGTGGGAAGCTGGCTGTGCCGACTGAGACGAATATCATTTGGGTTGATCTTGAGGCGTCGGGGTTGGTGTCTGAGGCTTTTTATGCCATGGCGGCGAAGTTTGATATCAAGATTGGGGCGCCGATTTTTGGGCGGATTGTGTTTCATTATCAGATTAGTGAGGGGGCGTTTGGGAGGCTTTGTGAGTTTTTTAGGGCGGTGTTTAGGGATAATGGGAAGTTGTGATAGAGTTGGTATGGATAAATTGGACTTGTTATGAATCGATTGTTTTGCGCACATTCGTAACTGAGATGTTGGTTTTTGATTCATTGACTGCAAGAGGCGTGAACGTACGAATTGTACACTTGCCGGCATTAAAATTCACTCATGATCAACAATACAGTCAGAGACATGCATATCAAGGAATTCATTGGTACCATCTGCTCGTGATTGGATTGGCACACTTTTTCATTGTAGACGTTTTGCGATGTGATTGGAACGAAATGGACCAATTGACAACCAATACTTCGAGCCTCTCATCCCCACTTGCTTGGTCAATGCCAAGACTGATCGAGATGGTGATAGAGCTCTGTGTATACAACCCCTGTTCGGAAATCCGACAACCGTTCCGAGATCTCACCTTGCAGCCGATATGGTCGTAGGAATAACGGATGCAAGATCGGGTAACGTCCGTAAAATCCTCTTGTGGAGCCTCCGACTCCGGGTCAGCACCATCATCGCTGATGATGCCAAAAAATCGACGATGGAAAACCGACTGAGGTTATGAAGTCGTCTATCAATTGAAAATGAGTTGTTTAAATGATGAATGGAATATGCATAATATTGGGTTCGAACTGTAGTAACACAACGCTCATCATCGTTTCATCTTCAGAACATTGATTTAACCTATCTTGGACTTTTCACACCTCACCGCCAACATGGTCAACATGAATCTCCGAACGCTGGACTTTACCAAGTTCACCGGCACTGATCAAGAGCGCAAGGAATTCTGTCAAGCGTTCCTGGATGGCATTACTGAAGTTGGCTTTGTCAAGCTGATGAACCATGGCTTGGACGACAAGACCAACTCGGAGCTGTTCCAACAGGTAGTCTCGCCAATAAGCCTAGTTCACTTCTCTCTGCACATGACTGATGACTAGCAGAGTCGTAATTTGTTCACGCTTCCCCGGGAAGGCAAAGAAGAGTTCGCCAACGTTATTGGTCCTAAGCCGCAACGCGGATGGAGCTGCATCGGTGCTGAGACGACTGCGACGTTGAACACGCCAGGTGTGATCAACATGGTCAGGGTCAACAACGAGGGCCTGAAGGACCTAAAGGTAAGCATTCCCGTTCCTAGCAATCTGGAACATGTACTAAGCCTCTTTGCAGGAGCACTTTGATATGGGACCTGTTGATGACCCCGAGTTTCCAAATGTGTATCCGTCTGAAGAGAAGGCTCCTGGCTTCAAGAACTGGATGGAGCAATACTTCATTAAGAGCCAGCACCTCTCGCTGCAGCTGATGGAAGCTCTCGAGATCGCATTGGATCTGCCCAAGAGCGCTCTCGTCGATCGATGCGAGGGTCACGCGAGCGAGATCAGAATGATCTACTACCCCGAAACCAACGTGAAGGAGCTCGCGGATGGAAAATCAAAGCGCATCTGGCCGCACACTGACTTTGGTATCCTGACTCTATTGGCGCAGGGTAGTACGGGCGGTCTACAAATTGAGGATAAGAACAATCCTGGGGGGTATGTATCTGTGCCTCTTGTCGAAAAGACGGAGCTACTCATCAATGTTGGGGACACGCTTGAGCGGTGGAGCAACGGAAGAATCCCAGCTGGGCTGCATCAGGTTGCGGCTTCGGGTGAGACGGAAGACGGGACGTTGCCGGAGCGTTACTCAGTGGCTTTCTTCTTGAAGGCCAATCGCAAGACGTCTGCTGGGCCGATTCCTATTTTTGTGCCAAAGGGTACCACGTCCAAGTATGAGGAGATGACTGCGCTTGAGTACCACCGACGCCGTACCGCTATCATGTACTAGTCATTTTCGGATGCTGTATGTAGTTCTGGAGAGTTGACGTCTTGTTCTGGGGAATAGCCATTTTGTTTTGCATCCACTCAGTACGCTTTCTTGCCATGCCCCCCTTGTGTCCCTCTAAGCTGTGACATGTTTTTCAGAGTGGCGGTCAGTTGAAACTAGTGGCCAGGATAAATTCACATGGAATATGTTGGTGCGTATGCCGGATAGCTACGTAATTAGGTGATGGGGGTGTCCGATGTTTATACGAACACGACCCCCATGCATAGGCCCCAGTCAGGTGTCCTGTAAAGCGGTTCCCGCCTTGGTAAAATCTAAACTGAATCCAGATGAGACGCTTCTTCGTCGTCCCCGCGAGATATGCAGCCCTCTAGACGAGATATGCAGCTTCTTCCGAGGCGAGATATGGAGCCGCTTGTAAGGCGACCAGCGATGGAATAGTATTTATCACTGCGTAATGGTTTCAGGTGGAAGCGAGCCAGTCATGCAGGAATGTACAAACGTGCCAATGCCAATTCATCTTTGTTCGCCTAGTATGCGGCGCCAATGCGGGATTGCGGCACCGTGGTAGATGTCGGAGCACACGACGTGCTTGCATTGTCCGTTTTGGTGCGTAAACTTGTGTAACAGTTGGAAGATTGGTGGAGATGAAGACCCCGGACTAGGGTGACCATGCAATTGTATCTTGCTAGCGTTAGGAAGGATGCATTGTGATGGTGAAGGTAAGCAAGGGGCTTGTAGTCAAGCAGCAATATCATCGATCGGAGACAAACAAATCATCCTCCTCGGACGTCCGAACAGGGATCAGGCGATGGCTGCCAAACACGTCGTATAGTGAAACCAACACCTTCCGCATTGGGTAATATCTCAACTCGAGGGAGCGCAGTCAGCCCATGGCTCTCCGTGGGATGCGTGACGTCAACATGACGGCCAAGCAGCCACCATGTCACGTTTGCAGCCCCCAACATAGCGTTTACTACAACAACATTCATTCGCCAACCACTCTAAAGTACATACACGCCCTTAGCAGCCATGTTCTCGTCGCCTGCTTCACGGTCATCGCCATTCTCTTCGCAAACCACTCCTTGACATGGCTCAAGCAACAGTCGAGCTCGACACCCTCGACTCTAGCCGCCATTCACAGGATGCGAACAACACAGAGTCTCACCATCAGAATACTCACGATGAAAGCACCCTTCCGCCAGTCGACAGCGGAAAGGCAGCCTGGCTGTTTCTAGCCGCTTGTTGGGCTGTCGAGGCTTTTGTATTTGGTAAGTGTTTCTTTGTATGCTCTCATCTAGTCCCCAAATTTACATAGTGGTAAATAGGATTTGGGTTCTCCTTTGGTGTGTTCCAGAATTTTTATACCACCCATGAACCGTTTGCCGGTTCAGGCGATATTGCGGTCATCGGTACCACCACTCTGGTAAGCGAGTTTCTAAGCATGCATCTTCTAGTATGGAAAACTCACCAATATCACAGGGAACCCTCTACATGGGAACACCTTTTGTTCTTATGCTTTGCCGCCTATTGCCCCGCTGGGCCCGCTGGTTTACGCTTCTGGGTCTCTTCACCTCCACTTTATCCATGGCAATGAGCTCCTTTTGCACTACGGTTCCCCAGCTCATCGGAACTCAGGGTCTCATGTTCGGAATTGGTGGCTGCTTCGCTTACTGTCCTTGCGTCGTCTATATCGACGAATGGTTCGCCAAACGCAAAGGCATGGCTTACGGCGTCATGTGGAGCGCTGCAGGTACTGGAGGTGTTGTACTCCCCTTGGTTCTTCAAGTACTTCTCAACAACCTCGGGTTCGAGACAGCTACGAGAATCTGGGCCGGTATCTTCTTTGCTGCCACACTGCCCTTGTCCTTCTTCATCAAGCCTAGGCTACCAAATTCCGCAACCACACATATATCGCCATTCAATGTGCGCCACCTCATGTCAAAGTTATTCGCCCTTCATCAACTATTTAACTTCGTACAAGCTACTGGCTATTTCCTACCTGGCATCTATCTCCCCACCTATGCACGCAGAATATTTGGCGCGTCTGACTTTTTATCAACGTTGACCATCATGCTGGTCAATATCTCTGCCACGATCGGCTGCGTCATCATGGGTTGGATGACGGATAAACTCAGAGTTACGACGTGCATTGCCATCTCGGCTCTGGGCACCACTATGTCTGTTTTTGTTATCTGGGGACTCGCTACGTCTTTACCCGTTCTTTATGTATTCTGCGTCTTCTACGGCCTATTCGCAGGGAGCTGGACTTCTGTCTATCCAGGAATCATGAAAGATGTTGCCAAGAAAGGCGAGAATGCAGGTCACAGCTCGGCTGACCCAGTGGTAGTTATGGGCTACCTGTTACTCGCCAGAGGTATCGGAAATATAGTGTCAGGACCTTTGAGCGAAGCGCTCGTAGAGGGCGAGCCTTGGCGAGGACATGCTTCAGCAGGCTATGGAAGTGGATATGGCGCGCTGCTTGTTTACTCTGGCGTGACTGCACTCTTCAGTGGGACTAATTTTGTACTCGACCACTTCGGCTGGCTATAAGTGCATTCATATTGAATCGAATTTACTCCATCAGCAACCGTGGAGTAGGAGAAGTAATACCATCGAGAACCATCATGAATAAACATCTAACTCATATGTTCTCACTCTGACCTGAGGTGACGATTCTGCAGCTCGTCAACTTTACGTTGTAGTTGTTCTATCATATGATATACAATATTTGCTGTTCATTCATCGTTTCAGTCTCATCATTTTATTCGACAAAATCCACATGTTAAGAATGCGAAGTTTCACCACCCATCTCCTTCCGCGGCCACAAGACCTAGACCTCGATTACCCAAAAAGATTTGAGCTACTTGAACATCTTCTTAATAAGCCTATCTAAATACGCATTCAACTGGCCGGGATTGGATCTCAGTCCGCGGCTGACAGATCTCAGCTGTATTCGTCAGAACCCGACTGCCTACACCGACAATTTTCAGGGCAGTGATTACATCCGTCAGCATGCTATCTGAAGCCCGAGACTTGTGTCTGAATGCAGCATATGCATTTTAGCCACTGCATGGCATGCATTGGTATGGTCGGGTAAGTTTTTAGGGTCCGTATTCGGGCCCGGGATCCACTTCCCTCGGCAACCCCATTGATCGACAAGGGTGGGTATGCCCGCCCCGGGCTAGCCACTGGTACTTACAGACACGTGCGTCCGCGGCTCTGGTTAAACGTTCGTACATGCACTCATTTAGAAACTGATTAAGGAGATGCCGTGAACAAGAGTTCTTCAAGGACGACGTGGAAACTCTGATTTTTGAGATTCCGTAAGCGAATTCAGAATCAATGACAGTTTCGAATTCGTCTTTCACCATTTTGCATGGCAATAAAACTGCCTAGGCTCTCGAATCTTAAACGGATCTGACTGTGCCGTCCCGTAAGTAGGATCAGATAGGCCACCAGCGGCTGACGCCTGACCAGATGCACATGAGAGATGCCGGTGAATAATCCTTTAAAACCACCCTCATAATGGCCTCAAAGCTCGTCATTCTGACATATTGATGCTTATTCGCAGTTGGTAGTAATTTCCATCGAGATTGGCGTGCAAGTGATTCGTTACAATTTTCAGGAGACAATATAGGCGGGTTTTGGTACAGCTGGGGGGTGGCCACGTCAGACCTTCTTGTTACTCAGTCTATTTGTTCTGTAAATAAACTTTCACTCCAGTTTTGTGGTCCTTTGCAACACAGTGACTCAAAAGGCTGTCACACAACGTTCGGAACAATTTCAGGATCTTTAATATGCAAGACCAGGACCAGTATGTGGATGTCGACAACGAACTACGCTTGAAGGAGATTAGTCGACGATCAGCATGCGACCGATGTAGACGGATGAAGACGCGCTGCGATCGAGGCAGCAACTGGGATCTTGCTCAACTACAACAATGTCGTCGATGCTGGCAAGCACGAGTCAAGTGTATCACGACTATGGAGGGTCAACAACATATAAACAGGCCGTCAGATGAGCCCAACCACAGGCACTGGAAACATTTCAGGGCCCCTTCTTATGCATCTAGCAGCAGCTATCAAGTTCCTGAAGTTCTTAAACATGCATCTGGGCAGCATTCAAATACATCAGCCGAACAGAGTCGAGGGCAATTCACCGCCGACGTTCCCCCATCATATCCCACTGCAGCAGACTCAAGATCCGACTATGATATTTGGTCAACATACGATATCGACAACTCATGGCGTGATTCAGGCGAGGGTCTGAATCAAGAAGGAACTCCCACGCATACAAGACTGGCCTCTATCTCGTCTACAAACAGGGCGTTGCAAAACCCAGCTCAATCAATTGACATAACAGACTCATCCACAGACGTCCAAAGCCTTCTTGCCACCTCCCACTTCAACCATACTTCGGAAGAGTGTCGCGATCTATTCCTACACGACTCTTCCATGCCTCTAGAATCAGAATCTCTCGACAAGACCATCATGAGCGAATTGATGAAGTTCAACAACAGAGTGTCACTCGACCTTCAAGACAGCCCCGAGACCTCTCACATCACCACCAACAACAAAAGCGTACTGGTCAAGACCTTCCAGCACTCAATCGTTTTCACAGAACTACTAGCGCGCATCCGGCAAGCGGGAGACATTTCAGACGGCAGCTCATCTGGCTCCGAGAGCGCTGAACTGCGCTACGGCTGCAGCGCATCCGAGCCCTACAGCAAAGTAGACACAGATCTGGCACTCCAACTCCTTTCTTGCAACATGAACGTAAACAACATGTACAAGCGTCTCTATATGGAGCTCCGGACGCGCAGCTGGGAAATCGGAAACGCACATGTTCTTCCGACACTATCGCTCGAGGGTCTCCAAAGCCTCGACGTCGTGATGCGCAACCAGGTGCTGTTGCATGTTTGTCTACTCAACTTTGCAAAGATACAGAGCGAGTTTGAGGTTATTAGGAGTCGCGGGTATTTGACGCCTACAGCGGAGAAGACGTTTCAGATTGTGATTGGGGCGAGTAGGAACAGGGCACTGAGTGATGGGTTGGGGGTTGAGCAGAGTCTGGAGAATTTTAGGCAGATGCTTGTTGATGGAGGGGTTTTGTCTCTGTGATTATATCATCTTTGGTGTAGGCGGTACTTATAAGAATATACCGCATGAAGTGAAGTGATGAGACTGGCTGGCTCAATCGAGTCTTTGACGTTATCTATCATTCGCACCGAGCCCCAAAAATCATATAGTCTTACGGTACCGGTACGTCAACACGAATAGGTTATGAATTATCAAACTCTCTCAAAGATAAAGAATAGTAGGATGTAGAGATGCTGCTTAATAATCTCTTACTCAGTATTGGTACCTGGTCTTGAGTGAAGAGCCGCGTGCTTTGAGTCTTGACGCACCTCTTTTCAGGGTATTGCTGCTGTCGAACACAAATTCAGACGCCCATATTACGATTGCCTCACCCTCCACTCTGGAAGTAGAGCTGTATCAAATACCGCTAGATTCCTGTCTCGTACCAAAAACACCGATCTACCAGATCTCAAAAAGCACTATGTTTGCGTACATACCGCAGATGAAATAATGCCCGCCCATGTGGGACGTAGCCGATATTCCACCTCATCTTCTTATGTCTGAGCCACCCCCAGAAACGCAACCATCATCAATTCCAGAGCCGAACAAGATCTTCAACAGATTAAAGTAGTCTATTCAAGATCACTTGTCACATACACAAGTCTACATACGAGACGACAAAGGAGTACTGAAATGGTTCCCACGTTTCGACATATTCAACAAATCGCTATGTGACACTGCAGCAATACCATTCAATTGGACTGTGAAAGACACACCCGAGGTCCCCTAAAGTGATAATCAGATCAGAATTTTTGTATGTAGACAAGAGCTAGCAGGGGTATGATGTTGCGGTTACTTAGAATTAGAAATTCATTTATTCATTCTTCATCTTCCTTCGTCAGCTATCCTTTTCAGAAGAATGAATTCGAATTTATTGTATCGTAACTACACTTCAAAGTTGTCATGTGACATCGGTACGGATCTGGCTACAAAGCAGCCCTTGCGTGAGCCTGATCTTACTAGCGCTCAGGGTGTGGTCCAGACCTGCCACTGGAGACTACATTGCATCGAAGCAGCGTATCATGGATATTCTGCATCACGCAACACCCCGACCTATCAGATGCAAGACTCCCAAAATACCACCGTTCACTTCTTTTTAACCCCTTATTATCAAGCGCAATTAATTCACATGGACACTCTCGCCCCCCCGCTAGTGCAATACCAAGAATACGAAGGGCGTAGAAATTAGGATTCAGCTCTCTTCCCTCACTACTACCAAAAACTCTCTTTGCTAACCACGTATCAAAAATAACCACAGCATGTGTCAGCAAAGCTCCGCCAAGTTCCTCTCTTAGCGATTCCTCCCCCCCCTCCCCCCCCCCCCCCCCCCCCCATGTCCTTGGCGCATCTTGATGACCATCGAAATTGCAACCACAGCTTCCTTCGGAGGAATAGATTTGTCTCGGCAACCCCGACCTCTGCTGATCAGCCGGGGGATAGTTACACGGCATGATTTTGTGCTTTGTGCTAACGTGGAGGCTCTTCTAATCAGAGCGCGCTACGCGCGGGATATGGGGGACGGGCATCATGGGTTGTGGCGGCGAGCTGAAAACGTGGGGTAACTTGGCTGACGTTGTGTGCTGACGTTTGTTGCAAATAGGGAGATGGATGTTGACATGAAGGATTCTGTCGCTTAGAGAAAGGCGTTGGTAACGTGGATAGAAGACTTGCAATGCAGGTTTCTCGGAGGTAATGCGTGATGGGCTGGAACGGTATCAGATCTTCACGAACACTCGTTTTTCGGTCAACTGATATTCTAGTATATTCAGGGGCTTGACGGATGAAGAATTAGCAGTATGCAAACAACTCATAGTGCAGATCGAATAACCCGCAGAGACGCTGCTGGGAGAGATGTTTCCAGAGATGCAGTTCGTAGTCTCGTAGATTTCGAATGCTGCATTCTACTCACGCAGAATCTGTGAATACAGCAAAGTATCACACACATACTAGTGAAAATCAGCCAGCAAATTAGCAATCAATAGTTTTGACGATGCCTGATTCAAGTTTTTCAGTTATATTTGCTCAACTCCCTAGTCCACAATTACATGTGTCGCTGTACTTGTCTACATGCTACACCCCATCATTCCCTGATTTTATGGAAGTGACAAAAATACCTCCCTCATCTTCTCATACCTCGGCGTTCCCAGCCCTGTAGCCGGATCCCACCCGGGGCTCGCTACAAAACCCTCAGTGCTACACCCCGGATTACTACCAACCGTCACATCATTGAACATCTCAGGATGCTTGTAAAAGATCGGGAGGTTGCTACCGATGTACCGCCCCCGCGCCGAGTTACATTGCCGTATACGACTGGTATATGAAGGCCTATCGCCGAGACGTCCGGGTATGGGCGTCCGGAGGAGTTGAAGATTGAGCTATCGTACTTGGGCGAGTACTCTTCTAGTTATTTGGAGACTGCCGCAGATTGCCAGTCTGGGCGGGAGAAAATGTTTGAGAAGCCGCTGCCAGAGTATAATGATCGGCTGCTATCTCTCCACTGGATATGGTTCCATCGCGTAGTGTTGTTGCGCCGACAACCGTGACCTGATCGTTGTTAAGATACGCCAGGTAGATATATTGGTTTCAAATTATCAGGGGTCTTACGTAGGGACAGTTTGAGGGAAAGCCGGGAGAGAAGCGCTTGCCGTTTCCGTTGCCATCGCTTTTGCCATTGGCATCGAGACACTCGTTGTTTCCATCAACCATATTTGCAACTCCAGAGTCTCCTGATGCAATTAGGACACTAACACCTTGCAGTGCTAACTTCATCCACTCATGACACTGTCTTTCCTGATATGATCTAGGGCCAACGCCTTCAACTTGGCCAAAAGAGAGGGAAATGACGTTACTGAGTGGCGCTCCACCGCACTGCAGCTTCCCAGTTTCATTGGCACCGAGATACGTACAGTACAAACCGTCCTGGCCAAGTCAGCGACTAGTGGAGCAAATCGAGGGGTCGAGCTTACCAGAGCGTCCAGGAAGACGTTGAATGGGCCAATGGCACCTACACTCTCCGGGAAATGGACTTGATAAACGCGTATCTGTTGGGGCCAGATAATCGAATAAGCAGTCTGGACATCCATCTCGGCTTCAAAAAGAGAGGGTTCAGTATCACCGTTTCCATTCCCAGTCTTATCCTCATTGACCTGAGCGATTTCTGGTACGGTGCCTGTAGGGATCCTGGGGGACGAATACTTCGCAAAGAATTCATCCAGATCCGCGAAGGAGAGGTTTTCCGTCCACTCCGGTATCCCGAGTTCGTTCCCTGGACTAGAGAACTTACCAGCCGGAAAGCCATAAAGTGCACGTAGACAGTTGATCGTCATGAGAGTCGCGCAGTTTGTAAGATTATCTGACTTCAAGTAGCCGAGTATCTCCGAGTCCGACACAAGGGCGTGCGCAATCGGTCACAATCCGTCAAGTTAGATCGTAGGCATAATGAAGTCGACATATTTGCGTATGTGCTATGGAAGTCTGTATTCTTCGCATGCGACGCGAAAGCCACCAGACTTCTTGTGTTGATAGTTGAAGTACCGAGTTTCTAGGAGCTTTTCTAGCTCTGCGATAGTGGCGGAGAATTCCAACCAGTTGCGTCCTGCACAATCAGATGATGTATAGATACTCTTTTAAATATCCAGCACTCACCGACTGATTGCTTAATCCGCTCACTAGCTATAACCAAATCAAAGAGCCATCCAAGAGTAGTTTCAGTCGCTTCTTGGTGTGGCGCAAATGTATTAGCGACTTGCTCGGCAGTCCAGTGTTTTCCTAAACCCACGTATCAGAGTAATGCTTCTCTACAAAGCTGAGTTCATTACCATAGTTCGGTGAATCCGGATCAGAAATGTCTTGGAGAAAGCGTTCAGCATTCTCAAGATTCTGTTGCTTCAATCCAATGCGCACAGGCAATATCATGTTTCCTGTGGCTGCTGAATGCTTCTCCCATACTGAAGACACTGTGTCTCGCTTCTCGTGAACGGTGTTTCGAGTGGATAGTGTGATCCCCACAAAGCTACTAAGGCTGAACAAGGCATATCCGAGAAGACGCATCTTCCCTAGAATGAAGACGTTACATCCTTTATCTGGTTTTTGTGCTGGGTCAGAATACCAGTAATGAACAGCTCACTGGCCATATATGTATGAAAAGAGCTGCCCAATGTAGCTCCCAAACTCAGTGCATTTGGCTTCAACTTACATCTACCCGTGCCGGTCAGGAGAGAGATAAATGTCAGTATACGTGTGGAATGATATTCGAGCCCTGCTCTTCCCAGTTTCTTTCTCCATAATACTTGTATGTTTCTCCGATCTTTCTGGATATGATTGAATTAGAGACTAGCTCTTAGTCAGACCCAGACCTTATAATTGCTTGAACGAATTAGCGTAGAGAAAAAGAGGCTTATCTTTATTAATAGTAATTTTCAATAGAACTCAAATGTCTTCGATGATACGATGGTGATTTGTTCAAAGGTTGAATTCATTTCTGGATCTCTGCATATGGGATTGTTATCTCGTTTGAGTCTCGAAAAATACAGTAGGAAATTGGTAGAAATGGCCATTCCTCTTGGTCAGGCTCGACCGCTTCGTTTCCCAGATTTCCTTCGTGGGTTGGTACCCAAAGAACTGTCACCAGTCATCAGAAGACATACGTTAAGACGATACAGACAAATCCTTCCAAGCATGCCGCCGTTACGTGATTTGATCATTGATCAGTGATTAGTACCTCTTGGCAGGACTGAGTGACTGGGAGAGCAGCACAACCACAAGTATATAGCGATAGGCAATGGTTTTCCATGGCTCATTGTGCTCATCTAAAGATGTTCCCTTGCCACATTTGTGCAACTGCTTGATGACGCGAACACCTCGCACTATTTAGCTATTAAAACTTGGCAAATATATCAAAATGTGCTACGTAAGACTTCGGCTCTTTTGTATGTTTTATGCCCGTTATTTTAGTAACTTTTGTGGCAATTAGGGCTGTTCATGGACGTAGTTTTCATCCAGCAATTTCGACTCCTCAAAGAATGTTATGGGGATGCCAACCAGATACCTGTGGAGTCAGCGCTCGTGCTCAGACTCATTTGCAAAGATTCAGTAGTTGCACTAGGGGAGTAGCTTTTACCATAGTGGTAGACTAAAGTTATCTACATAGGGTGATGCAGACTGGGGCAGAGTGTAAGTGCTATACCATATGCAATGTAGCTGCTGTCAAGATTACTGAAAACAGCTTGGTATTTCTTTTCAACTATTAGGAGCGAGGGTATCTCAATGATAGCCTAGTCATATATCTGTAAGTGTCTTCACCTATAAAACGTTTGCTAGTCATCACAGTATTGCATAAACGAATTACCATAAAGCAAAGAATGTAAATTTTCTAGCTATTCAAACCTATTCATACCCCTCACTCTTCGCATTATGACTCGGCTTAGTTCCCAACTTCATAACAGGGCTATTAATAAAATTATCCAACCCATCATGCGTAAAGAAGCTCTGCGCCTTTGAAATCTGCACCTCATTCGCTCCGCGCTTCCAAATACTCTCGTCATACGCCGTAATCGCGTCCTGTAATGTCGCGCTACCAGAATGTACACTCTTGATAGCTTCGACAAGACAGTGGGCAGAGTAAAAAGCGTTGTTGGCGCCTTGGCCGCGGTGGAACGTCATGGCGTGGGCTGCGTCGCCGCATAGTGTTACTCGCCCGCCGTGGTTGTTCCAGGGGACTGTTTTCCAGATCTTGAGCTGATCGCGTAGTACGTTGGTGTTGTCAGGTATCCATTCGATGGCACTCTTGTATGGCTCGGCCCAGCCGTCTCTTTTGATGTGCGCTTTCAGTCTTTGCAGTCGATCATCATCATTGTCGTGGTCTTCAACGTATTTGAGGGGCCATGTGGAGAGAATCTGAAATGTCCAGGTACTGGCATCTTTTTCGTTGGGCATGTCGAGCACATTGGCACGGATGTAGTGGCCAGCTGGGTGAATGGCAATGTCTACAAGGGGGTGAAGACGCTCCTTGATAAAATGCGCTTGCTCAGCGGTGTAAGAAGCGTTGAAGTTCATGAGTGCGAACGGCAGCGTCTCCATGTTTCCCTCTTTGGGAAGCAGACAACGGCGGACTTTGGACATGGCACCATCGATGCCAACGAGCAAGTCGCCTTCGTCCGTGGATCCGTTTTCAAAGTAAACTTTCACACCGCCGTGCTCTTTTACCTCATAGTGTGAGAAACTTTTCCCATACTGGACATTGAGCCGTTCGGCCAGCAAAACGCGCAACTTTCGGATGTTGATCTCCCTTGCTTTGGGGATCGGGAACGCAAACGCTTCTTCCCGGGTCTGGCCATTGTAAATCACAATACGATCTTCTCCTATCGCTGCGCAGTCCACGTAAGGATCCACTTGACACGAGTTGATCTGCGCGCTAAGGTCATCTGGTATGAGGTCGAATAGATATGGTCGTGCCCAGCCAAGGGTAAATGCCCAATGCCGGTGTCGGTAAACATCTGCGCCTTTGTCGTATATGCTGAATGGCACTCCGGCTTTTTTTAGCCCATGCGCAAGTGCACATCCGGCCGGTCCTTGAACCATGTAAGCGGAGGTTTGGCGGTAATGTCATAGTGGCCCTGTACCTGCTCCGATGATGATCACTTTCATCGCTGAGTCGACGCTACCCATTGCATCCGGCATCAAGCGGCGCACAGGGACTTATTCGTGTAAACTGGGAGACTGCACGCGAGGATGCAGTATGGCAGGGTGAAAGATACTATCTTGGAAACTTCTTGCCACAAAGCTATGCGGCATGAAACGCCCGCGTAGCTGTGGTTTCTTATATATAGCGGATCATGGCGTTGGAGCCGGACCCCTATGCTAGTGTATGTTGATGCAACGGAGCGGGAGCGGCGTTCGAGGGGCGCCAATACCGGTTCTCCTCTTCGTCATTGCCGCATGTCGGACATAGCACCATCGGAGAATATTTGTGTCTGGATGCTTTCCTTGCGGATGTTTGGTACAGGGTTGAGTGTGTTTAGAATCGTAGCACGTTTTGACTACAGTCTCTTTGAACTATTTTTGTACGAATCGAAAAACAACTTCGATATCCCTGAGACAGGAAATAGAACCAGCACGCTATTCATTCCATATCTTCATCAACATTCATGCTCACGGCATGGCATACGGCGGCTCTAACAATTTCTCGCACAATCTCAACCTCATCCTCGTTTCTCGGTGCGTACACCATGATCCAGCTCGGCGGTGCTATCCATGTTACAGGGAAACGCTGGCCCCAGCCTCGTTTCATGACCAGCTTCGCATCCGGAGGACTAACATAAACGTGCAGCGAGTTTTCTGCAGGGTGAACATGGGCAACTTCATAGAAGATCTTGTGTGCGACAGGATTGATGGTCTTGACACCTTCTTTTACATAAATAGCGGGGCCAGTGCCACCCTCCGTTTTGCTTGGCCGGGTCTCAATGTACTCGTTGTAAGGCGCAGTGCTGGCAAACTCTTGCATCAGATTGTGAAGTACAGCGGATGCGCCTGCTGTAATGTTCTCTGGGACTTGGCGCTGAGGAAGAGTCCAGCGCGTAAGTCCTGGCCGGGGTCCCTGTCTGTTTGGGACCTTTTCAGGATCTATGTATGATTCTCCTGAATCAGGAATTGGCGATGGATCCAAAAGATTTTGTCGAGAGTAGAGCAGATAAAGTCCCCATCGCCGGATCTTGAGATAGCCTTGCAGCGTTGGTGGCGTGCCGCCAGTGCCTGTCAGCTGTCAATTGCCAATTTTTTGCGTGGAGCAAGATGTCGTCACCGAAACTCTGCCAGCTCTTGAAGTCGTACCAAAAGGCCAATCCCGCTGCTGTGATACCAGCAAGAAGATATCGAGCCGCCATGATCAGGACGAGTAAACAAGTGTGCCGCGGGGTAAGCTGAACACTGCTATCTGCTGGCGCAAAGGACGTAACGCCTGTATAATGGCTCTGGTGGCTGGCATAACAGTCCCTCCCGATAAGGGAGATGACCCGGTTGAAGGATTCTTGGGTGCTTGGGGTGTGGAAGAGAGTGGGGGGATGCAGCGTCGGAAGCCTAACGGGAGGGCTAATGCGGGTAGCCCTCGGGTCCCCTCAGATGGATCCAATAACCCCGTCTCTGTTCCCCACTCAAAACACCTCCCGCACGTCATCAGCCAGCATGCCACGATACACACGCGGTACTCCACGTTTTGAGGATGGGGCAAATCCCTGCGGCCATGCTTGATCACCACTTTGTTGTACTAGTGTTGCACTCCAACATTGACGCCACAGGGTTGCAAAAGAACTTCTCAGGCTCCAGATCAGCATCTGCCGTTTCAAACGTTTCTATTTCCACCTCAGCCATGAAACATTTGCTAGAAGGTGCCTTAAGTTGAAGGCCATCCGCAGTCTGTGTCGGGTCAACCGCACCGAAAACAAGTGCTGGATAAACACATGGTACTTTGCCAACGCTGCAGCGCTGACAAGCATCGACTGCCCCCGGTCACTGAGCCGCATTCACCTATCCGATCGAAATTTCAACCACCAACTATTCCCCCCAAATCTCCGCAGCGCCAGAGAATCCGGGAACGTGGTCAAGAATTGCAGAGGCCAGACTTTCGCGTGAATCCCACTCCGTTGCGAGCACATTCATCCCCACCTCCGTCAACACCCCTTCCACAGGTGCCTTCAATCCCGGCCCACCACCGAAAATTATCATATCAACTTCTACCTTCTGTAGAGTTATATCGGCCACGAGATAAACCCCGAGAGTTAAGCGTACCGCGAGGAAGGCCATCATCGCGATTCCGAACAGTCTCGCAAGCAGCATCAACCTCAACCACATCAATAGCATCCTCTTCCTCCTCAGTCTACTCCACGCAATCCTCGCTCTCCCAGATAAAACCTCCCCCAGAAATCTCCCAGTCCAACCGCTCAACCATAATGTCGATCCCACCCGCGCTTCAACAGCAACTGCGCCTCCTCATCCGCGCAAACCACATCCTCCACCACCACGGCCTCGTCGACGCCTTCGGCCATATCTCAGTCCGCCACCCCTTGAACAAAGACCAATACATCATCGCCGCCTACGACCCAGGCGCCCCAGCCCTCGTCAAAAACGTCAGCGACTTCAATTCCTACTGGGTCCGGGACTCGTCCCCCGTTGACAAAGATGCGCCCCAAGGCTACAGCGAGCGCTTCATCCACGGCGAGATACTGCGGAAATTCCCAAAAGCCAATTGCGTCGTGCACTCGCATTCTGAAGACGTAATCCCTTTTACCATTGCTCATGGCGCCGCGCATCCGCACCCCGTGCGTCCCGTGTTCCACATGGCCGGGTTCCTGGGCCAGAGCGGGGCTGCCGTATTCACCATGGATCGTCTGTACGGCACGTCGCGGGCGCCGACGGAACGCGACTTACTAATTAAAAATGCAGAGTTGGGAGAGGCACTCGCCGCGCAGCTGCGCATGGAGAGTCCGGTCGTACTACAACACAAACACGGTTTTACAACCTTTGGCACGAGCATCGAAGAAGCCGTGTATCGTGCGATTTATACGCAGAAAAACTGTGTCTTGTTGCAGCGTGCGATTGCTATTGCAGGGGGTGATGCAGAGGCGGTGCAGTATCTTTCGTCCGAGGAAATCAAGGATTGCGCAGTTATGAATAGGAAGACGCTGGATAAGTCGTTTCGGCTGTGGCTGCGCGAAGTTCAGGTCAATCGGCTGTATCAAAATGATGAAGGGGAGCCCGAGAAGGGGAAAGTGGCAGGTATGAAGATGTAGTAGTAAGCTAATAAAAACATGTATTTACATTTTTTTTGAATATCGTTAGTCGTTATTTTTCTTTTTCTTTTTTAATATGATACATGCTGACTATTGCTTAATTTCAATGCCGGGGGATCCCTCGCACGCGCTGATGGGTCCAAAGTACCACAAGTGTGAGTTGACGTCTAGTCCCAAGTCTCCCTCATTTCCGTTCAGGTTCAATGTGCCAGTGAGCACGTTGATGTCTCCAGTGCCAGGCTGCACGTCGTTTCCAGTGGTAATGTAGTACTCGGGCGAGATGTGGCGGTAGCCCAGGGCCGCAGGGGGGAGCTTTGGTACAGGATCGGCCTTGTGGGTGACACGGTAGTTTGCGCCCATGTTTGTCTGGCTGATATAACTGCTAACGGCCTCGAGACCAATCTTGGGGGCACCATAGGTGTAAAGATCGACCGCAATGCCCTGGGAGCGGAGCACTCCAGCGCCCAGGGTTGCAAGAGCACCACCCAGCGAGTGGCCGGTTGCAACCACTTTAAAAGTTGGATATTGCTGCCTTGCCTTGTTGATGGCAGAAACTACATTGGTCTGTGCCTCCAGCCAGCTCTGCCAGAAACCAATGGATGACGCACATGTAGTGCAAATCGTGGTATCCGCTACAGGGAATTGGACATTGGTGAGCCAGTTGCGTACACTCCTCGATCCTCGGAAGGACAGAACAATAAGCTTGTTGGTCGTGTCAGTTGCAACAAAGCCGGTAACATCTGACTTGATGCTATTCTCAAACTCGGTGACAGTGTTGGTGTTTGCTGCCTCGACGCGAGCACAGTTGCCCTGAGGACAGGTGACCTTGGTGTTTGGGCTGTTGTTGTTTCCCAGACAGTATGCAGCAGCTGAGTACTGCGAGAAAAATTGGAGCTGATCCAGGACGTTTGCCGACACAGCTGAAGAGAGTCAGTTGAAGCCTCAGTCACTGTGCATCGGATATACATACCTCTCTTCTCAATCTCGACTGGTGCAGCAGTAACGGAGTAAACCGCACTGAGCAGGAGGGTGGCTATTCCGAGCATTGTGAAAGGGTATGTATGCTTTTACGTGATCTTGTTGCGAAGATGATCAATTGGCTGGACAGCAGCAACACAATGTGCCTTCAGTGGATCAAGAGGACTGGGACGAGGAGAAAACTGTGCACAACGCCTGGATCATCCAAACAGTGAGAATACATGCATTCTATATACGAGGCCTCGAGTCCCTCAGAGCCATCTTGCTAAGTGGTACTGACGGCAAGTGGATAGCCGTAATGGTGTACAACCCCGGTCAGTGATCGACATCTGTCAAGACCACAACCACGCGAGCTGGGGTCGAGTAGCGCCCTGTCAGGGATACAGGCAGGCAGACTTTACTAAGATTAGACGTTTCGCCGTTGCTGGGTAGCCGCTGGAGAACCTCGTGCCAGGTACGCCAGGGGCCACCATGTTAGTGCCATACTCAGCCCCGTGACCGTATTTGTACTAAAACGGAAGGCCATCATATGCAAGCTCAAGTTCTGGGTAGAACACTGGTAAGATTCGGGTTCCGAGGTCATACCCAAGCTCCACCCAGCGACTAGGCCACGACATCGAGCCTAGAGCCAGCGACATGTCTCGACACATCACTGGTGGTTTTTTCCTGCACGCGGATATTGTATGCATGGTACAGCACGCCGAACGCATGCACGGATATGGGCGTTGTGTAGCTCGCGGCGTGAACGACAGTTTTGGGCTACTGTTTGTTCCCAAAGATCCAAGTGTCCAATAAGTCAACAGGTAAAGAATCAGCATACGCGGACAAAGTTTGACCTAGGCCGTACCCAGGTTTGCGAGTTTGCAGCGTGAAGAGCCGGAAGAATTGTTCTTTTCTGAAACGCAGAGCAAAGAAAAAGCCCCTTTCGATAAGGCGTTATAGCAAGGCGAGCCTGGGTTCTGCCTCGCATGGTGTTTCACACTCAGTTTACTGTATATGCACGAAAACATTGTGGCTGAGTACAAAGACCGTCGGTATTGGGGGCCACAGGAAGTTCGCTAGCATTTTCCCAAACATGGACGATGCGGGGTAAATAGTGGTGACGTAGCGGGCGTAAGTGGACAGTTCGCTGATAATAGCCAGAAGTCTCGACACCACCACAATCAAAACAGTCCGAAGCGTGGACTAATAGGCACAAGAGGTTGCCGGATTGGTATAGGTTGGACTAGACGACGTTCGGTGTCACTTCTTGTTGCAGTTAGTGTTTCGGGACTTTCGCGGGGTATCCAGCGACGCCTGACAAACTGTGGCTCATGCATCCACAACAGGAACATGCCACACTGCGCCGATAAGGCGTAAGGTACCCGGAGTCAGCTGTCAACGGACATGTACAACAAAGCGGAAACAGTTGATAATCATCTTAGTAGTAGCCATTTCGATTCATGTATTTACTGCCGGCACAGATCGAAGCTAGTCACTAAAGGTACCATTCTCCGTTCCCCTCGAGTCGTGAAGTGTGGGGGAAAACGGTCAACGTGGAAAAAACCTGAATACTAGTGCAAACTACCGTAGGGTGGAGACGGCAAGTCATCGGCAAAAAAGAAAACCACGGCTCTTTTGCGCCTGAGCGTCGCGAATGTGCCCTCGGTTGCGTGCATGCGGCCCTATGTGCCGTTGGATGTGCGGAATTACTGCGGAGGTACAAAGGGGTTTACGAGCATTTCGCTGAATCTGGAATCTCGATTAGTATGACAGCTCTCAAGCCAGCACGCAAATACCCACTTCTCAAGTTTTTCTTTGCCTCGCACTTCCTCAACCAACAACGGCATCTTGACCACGTTGAACTCATCATACAGTTCTTCGATCTGGTCAAGATACTTCTTTTGCATTTTCCGTCGCGCGTTGCATTGCTCGCAGGGGTTGCTTTGCTTGGGGAACAGCAGCTGATTGACGACAATCGAGTGTGTATCAATCTCGTAGCTGTTGAGTTCTTGAATCATGCGCTCCGTCTCGTACAGACTAAGGAACTCGGGAATGCACACACAGACAAATGTTGTAAGATCGGCGTCCTTGAATTGGCCATTGACCTCGCCTATCGTCTCACGTAACGCTTCCATTTTCTGAATCAGCTCATCCATGTTCTGTCCGTTTGGTAGTCTACCGGACGAGCCAAGAAAGGAGTTGAGCATGGGTCCAAACTGGCGGGAGAGCTGTGAGACCTTGGAAAGGGCCTTTTCCATGACAGTGGGAAACTGGAGGAAGCGGAGCGTGTGTCCGGTGGGCGCCGTATCGAAGATGATGACTTCGTACGACATGGACTTGACCTGCTTCAGCACTTCGGCAAACGACATGGCTTCGTCTACACCAGGTATCTGTCCGTAGCAATCAGTATCCCCGCCTCGCTTTACTCGACTGCGGCTCGAGGGTTTGGTATGGTGTACATACGCTGAATGCGAGGTCCTGCATCATGCTGCCCATTCCGCCCAGGCCAGCCATAGGATCCTGACCCTCTTCTGCTCCACTTGCCAACAAATCCTGTATACTTCCGTTGGGATCGATCTCCATGGCGCTGAGGTTATCGAAGCCATTGATGAGTCGCGCGTCCTTGCCAAACTTCTGGTTGAAGGCATCCGATAGATTGTGGGCGGGGTCGGTCGAGATGAGGAGAACTGATCTGCGGTGCTTTGCAAGCTGGATGGCGAGCGAACACGATGTCGTCGTCTTGCCAACACCACCTTTTCCGCCAACGAATATCCACCGGAGTGTCTTCTGGTCGAGGATGGACTGGAGTGTCGGCGCCATGTCGGCATCGATGAGGGCGGTCGAGGCCATGGTCGCGATGTAATTCAAGCGGGCGCACTGAGATATGGGATCGAGGGGCGCAGATGGCCTAGTGGTGTGGTGTGGTGTGAAGCGGGAGTCTGCTGTGAAGGCGGTCGATGCTACTCAGCAAAAGGCCGGGATACAATAGAATGTTCTCGAAGCACTGCACAACACACGTAGTACTTACATGGACTACCAGCAGTAGCGTCAAAGCAGTGCAAATGTCGATGTTGTTGTTGGTTATGCTCAAAAGCTCAAAAGCCAAGAGAACCAAGTCACCGTGACAAGGTGCGTCACCCCGCAGCCACCGCCGCCCTCGTGCGCTTCGCTACACTCTCCGACGCGCCAATCACGTATCCCTTCACGTGAAGACCTTGTCCTTGCAAACCTCTTAATATTCTCTCGATACTATTACACATGCAGAATGCCAAGTGCACAACACCAGACGTCGCCTTGCGACATCTAGTAAACTCAACATGCCACCTGCTGACCATGCCGAGTATGGTGAAGTAAAATAAAAACGTCCGCTGTAACCCGGCTGCACATGCGCCAAAAACACCGTATCATGCCCGCTTCCCATACCGAGCCTTTGTAATGCCTTATTTCTTCTTGCCCTTCCCCTTGCCCTTACCCTTGGTTGCTGATCCTTTGGTTGCTGATCCCTTGGTCGCCGATCCATTTGTCGCTACACTGCTTGCTCGAGACGGCGTTGCCGAGGCGGGAGAAGCCTTGCTCTTTACAGTGTCCAGTTGCTTATTCTGTTCCATGTTAGCAGTGCAATTGGGTCAAGTAGACTACCCGTCATCTCAACGTACCTTGACGCCGTTCTTGGTCTTCTTCTTTGGTTGCTCTTCCTCCTCTTCCTCCGTCTCCTCCTCCTCGTATCCCCGCTTGCCATTCTTATTCTTGGCATCCCCGTCACCGAGCTCGCGCACAATGGCTGAGATTAGCGTAGTACAACGACGGCCAATCTCCTGTGGCGTGCGACTCAGGAAGAACCAATCGAAGCGGAACAATGGCGACTCCCGGATTTCATCGCGGATTTTCTCGTAGATAAAGTCGCCCTCGACACCATGCTTGTGCAGCATAACTACAAGGAACTTGTCTTCATCTTCAGTGTACACCTTCTTGTTCGTCGTCGATACCGTGTACTTGATCTGCATCTGCTGGAGGGGCATGCGGTACATGCCAACCTTCTTTGCGATCAACCGCTTCTTCTCCTCTGATTGTCGTACGCGTTGCTCGCCCTCCTCAATCACACCCAAGTGCTTCTGCCAGTTGTCCAGCGTCTTGTACTTTTTCCAGAATACCTTGGCGTATGCTTCAATTTCCTCAGCAGTCTTGCCGTCAACTTCTTCCGAGATACCTTCGTAATTCTGACGGCCATACTTGGCACTACCGTTGAGGAACTGCTGAAAGTCACGCTTATTCCACTCAGGGAAACCCTTTTCAATCAGTCGCTCTTTCTCCGCCTTTTCCTCTTCTGTCAATGGCTCGGCGTTGTCAATCTCTTGTTGTGCAAGTTGTTGGTCAGCCTCGCGAGCCTCGAGGTCCTCGTCGGAACCCTCCGGAAGAGGCGCCTTGAGATTGTTCTCCTTCCGATACCATGCTGTTTCCTTGTCTTGGAGTTCTGCGAGGCGTTCTGGGAAGAACTGGTAGTCATGAATGACAATCTGCTTTGGTGCGCGAGGTATCCTGGGTTGCTTGTTCTCTGTTCGGCCGCCAGTCACAAGAGCTTTTCGGTAGTACGAGTCGATACCGTAGTTTTGTTCCTTGCGCTCACGCTTTGATGGGTTAATCCAGGAGATTCCAATTTCCTTCTTGCGGGGCTGGAACGTCTCGCCATTCCATTCATAGGTTGAATCGGATGTGAACTTTTGAAGGTCATCGAGACCAAGGGCCTCATACCTCTTGTTGAGCTTCTCGGTCATCTCCTCGCCACGGCGCATGACCGCGTCGAATTCATCATCTCCGAGTTCGCCGCTAGCAGCTGATCCAACAGGGCCCTTGCTCTGGAATACTGCCTCTGCGCCGTGTTGGATCATGGTCAAGAGCTCGTCTTTGGATGCTGCATTCTTCACAGGCTGTTGCGTGCGACCCTGCTGAATGACTAGTTGATCCAGACGTAGTTTTTGTGCCGCGCGCTCGAGCACCTTTTCTTCAATGGCCATCTCGGTGACAAATCGGAACACATATACCTGCTTGGTCTGGCCGATACGGTGAGCGCGGTCCATGGCTTGAAGATCGGCCTGTGGGTTCCAGTCGCTATCAAAGAGAACGACGATGTCGGCAGTAGTCAAGTTGATGCCCAGGCCACCAGCGCGCGTTGTCAGGAGGAACAGGAATTTGTTCGAGCCTTCCTTGTTGTAGTCGTCAATCGCTTGGATACGGTCCTCGTGTGCGGTTGAACCATCGATACGGCAGTACTTGTAATCACGCATAACGGAGTAATCTTCCATGATATCCAACACACGACTCATCTGGGAGAAGATAAGCACGCGACTGCCTTGGGCCTTCATACGCTTCAGCAGCTTGTCGAGCATGACCATCTTGGCTGAGTTGGTAACCAGATGCTCGTCGGTAGTGTATGGAGGACCGGGTTCGGCGCCTTCGAACAGGTAAGGGTGGTTGCAGCACTTTCGCAGTTGCATGACAATGTTGAGAAGGCGGGTTTTGGACTCCTTGTTTCCAGCGCCGCCATTGACTGCATCAATGTCCTTTTCAAGAATCTTCTTGTACCACTGGACCTGCATGTCCGACATGCCCACGTAGAGATTAATTTCCTTCTTGGGCAGCAGTGACTTTTCGACATCGGCCTTGACACGGCGGAGCAAGAAAGGTCGAAGAACCTTGTGTAGCTGTTGGACAACTGCATCGGAGTCCTCATTCTGCTGTGAAAACCAATCGTCAAAGGCAGCTGAGTCACCAAACACATCTGGGAGAAGGAAATTGAGCAAAGCCCAAAGTTCGTGGAGGTTGTTCTGAAGAGGGGTACCGGTGATGAGCAACCGGCTTCGCGAGTTGAACATGCGAACCATCTGTGCCAGTGACGACTCCTCATTCTTGATACGATGCGCCTCATCAATGATGATGTACTCCCACGCAAACTTCTTCAAGTGCGACTTCTCGCGCAAGATCATTTCGTAGGATGTGATACAGACGTCAAAGCCATCGGGGACGAGGCGGTCCTTGATGAGTTCGGCACGATCATCTTTGCTACCCTGTAGCACCAAGACATTGATTTCAGGACACCATTTGGCAAACTCGCGCTTCCAGTTGTCCAGGGTCGATTTGGGCACTGCGACCAGGTGGGGTCCAGTGATGCCGGCAATATAGCGGAGATAGCCGACGAAGGAAATGGTCTGAAGCGTCTTTCCCAAACCCATCTCATCAGCCAGGATACCTGAAATACCGTTTTCGTGCAACGAAATCAGCCAGTTGAGACCAGCAATCTGGTAGTCGCGCATTGTACCGCCCTGAATGTAGCCTGGTGACTCGCGGAAAACCGTCTCGTTGTGACCGCCATGCTTTTCCTCGCGCACCAGCTCGGCGTCTTCCTCTTGCTCAGTCTTGCGCCGACGCTCGGCAGCAGCGCCACCTTTGCGAATCTTGTTAGCCTTTGACTTGCTGCTCTCTTCGGCGTCCTGACGGTCGATCTCGGCGAGAATCTCCTTGATGCGCGGGTTGGGATTTGTGTCGATGAAGTGGCGGAACAGGTCAGTGAGACCAAGGAGGTATCGAAAGCGGCGAATGGTGTCGTCTTCCTGCAATGATGTTCTCGAATCAGTCGGGGCCCCTTTGGGACGCGATGGGCCGTTTGGTGCTGCTTACCATTGATGCCCTTAGGCCCTCAGCCTTCTTGCCGTACATGGACTTGCGCATGTTCATCTCTTCTGCGCGTCGCTTTCTGCCATCAGGGGGGGCGCTGTCGCCTGCGACACTGTTTCCCCTTGTGTTTGTGTCGGAGTCCTATGGCATTGTCAGTTTGTGGACAGAAACCACGCGGCACGGCAGGCAATTGGTGCGTACTGTGTAGTCTGGGGTATCTAGATTGTACTGCCATGAAAACGTCAGCGAATGTTCAATGTGCAATGAAGTCGTCTTTCATGACGCAGAAAGGCGCCAGGCCAAGTTGCGCTTACTCCGAACTTCTTGAAACCGCTCATCTTATCCTCCTGCTGGTCTTGCATGTCGACATCGGAATGCGCCGACACGTCTTCAGAAGATGGCTCTTCGGCCTTTGCAGCGCTCTTCCGCGGCATATTGCCTGTTTGGGCTGCTCGCCGCGTCGATTTGAAATCGTCTTGCTGTCGCCGTCGTCCAGTATTTGTGGTGCAGTGTGTGGCGACTGTGCGGGGTCGTGGGGGATGCAAGGGACGCGTTGAAAGCGTGTTGGTGCGGAGAGGTGAATGCGCAGTATACAGCCAGAGCCATGGGAGAATAATGTCGACGGTCCTTGGCGCGTCTGGACATATGGCGCTAGTACGCTTGCGGCAATACCCACTACCCAAGCCAGGTACCACTGACGCCAATTATCTCCCATTCGCCCACCGCCTTCCTTCCTACGCGACTCTAGGATGCGCGTTGAATATCCATCAATCTTTGCAACACGTAAAATACAATCCATTCACGAATGGACGCGTCAGGAGAACGCGACTGTAAAAAATGACGTCACTTTAATCCCGTTGAGGAATAATTTGGGTGACTAGAATTACAGATTTATGAGTCCACATGGTATTGGCTTGCGTCTGGTCGTTGGGAATCGATTGCATTCATTTCATTGTATCAGGTTCGGTAAAAATCATGGACAGGAGGGGGGATCAAAACTTCTCGACTTTTGTAGATTAAACCCTCTGCTATCAGAATTAATGTGCTATCTCAAATGTGTAGAGACATTCAAGACAGGGATCACTACTTATGTCTGATCAACAATTTCGCCAGATGCCTCGTCTTTCAGTCTACCCTTTATTTCCCAAGTACAGCACGTTTTTCCCGTACAATAAACGCAGCCGACTACCTGCCCTCAATCACATTCGAATCTTCCACACAAAGATCGGGAACCCACAAAATGCAATGAACCCCTTTCCATGTCTATCCAGCAGTTCCAGAAGCATCTGGAATGATGCTAGAGTCCATATCGTAGGCTACTTCATCCTGCACTTACTACAGCACCTCGGTATCGCTTAGTTTCTCCCGCTTCTGAAAATGTGCAATGTTTCCTATGGTTCCTTTCCCTCTCTCTTTTCTTCTACACGATTCATACAGTGAAGGTAGTTGCATTGGGTTTTACCGCTTCATAGGGGGCCAGTATGCCTTTTCCGGGACCATTCATGCCCTTAGTGTCAGACCGTTGAAATTGCTGGGCGGTGATGGGTGCTTAAGCAAGTTGTGGTAGGGCATGGCAGGAGGAATCTTGAGGATATTATGGTGTTTCGAAGGAGATTATCTAGGAATTGCGTGTTAGAGACTTTGTGGACGAGGGGGGAAAAAAGGAAGAAAAATAGTCCAGTATTCCCAACATGTTTATTTTTCCACTGCACCACGTCAAGAGAAAAGCATCGAGCCCCTTGAAACAACACCGCATCAACTCAAGGTATAAAAGCATGTCAGAGTCCAAAATTCAACTCAAGATACGTATTATACAAGCCCCAAGGCTTCTTGCAAAATACTCGCTCCCCATCCTCCCCTACTCCAAATATCTTGTGCTTCACCTATCCTCCAAACTTGGTAACATGCGTGCTTCAGTATTCCCTTCAACTCTTTTTCTTCTTTTGTGTGGTATCGCAACTGCTAAATCCAGCACGACACCGACCCCCGACGTTGCACCAATCCGGCAACTCCACGAGAAACCATGTTTGGGTGAAATTACCCGACCTTGGAAAAATCACATCATAGCCCCTTTGGGGTGGAACCCAGACTCTCTCGTGACCGAAGCCATCACTGCTTACGAAGACAGTATCCTTGTGGTTGACTCCTGGCATCATAAGGATTGTGCCAGGTTTCTAGTAATTGTTAACTCACGGAGGGTCGCAAAAACGGAACGGTCGAGCGTTTCAAGTGATGATGGTTGCAAAGATTGCACCAAAACAGGTGAATACATGGAGGCTTATATTACCTTGCCTAAAGGTAAGCTGCAGAAAAGTTCATTTGGTCGTGTGTCTAGGTCGATCAATGCGGTAAATACATGCTCTCACGGCTAAAATCATTTCTAGGAACATACTTGGTTGATATCAGATACGCACCAAAGGAAAATTGTGGAACTGCCGCCATAGGGTACCCAAAGACTCAGCTGCACAACCAGTGCAAGAAGGAAAAACTATAAGCGGTGGAGAGACAAGTTGGGGAGGAGGAAGAGGACGAAAGAGGACGGAACAGTATCTCCGTATCTAGAGTCTCAGCCGACACCGAAGCAGTATCATGGAAGGCTTTATTAAACTGAAACAAGATGGAGATTTAACATCGTAATTATTGTGAATTATAACGCGACTACACTTCGATACTCGGATATCATTGAACAAGCCGCAGTTACGAGATTTCCTACATGTAATACGTATCTTTCCTGCTTTCCTGTTATACTTCTTCTATAATCGCGTCGTTACTCCTCCATTAGCTATGGTTGCTTTTCTAAAAAACAGCAATGCACTTTCCACGTTAGTCTATTACTTTAAACCCCAAAGTCCTTTTGCCTGACATGTCAGAGCCATATATGGACGCAAACCACTTTTTGCAACAAGATCCCGCAAACATCCCTGATGCACTGTTTATATCTGTACAGTAAGCGATTCAGAAGGGTCCAGTATGATACCAAAGTGCGTCTAATAAGCTTGACTGTACTGCAGTATCTATGAAGCATTGGCATCGCTTGATGCCTGTTTTTGACAATGCGCCATAGCTTTCCTACTTTTTGTAGAGTTACACGATGGAAATTGTTTCTTTTGCGGATACCGGCTTATAGTGGCCTGTGGCATTTCCTTTGGGTACTAATGATTTTGTGAGTGAGAATTTTGACATGTCTGGATAGATAAGAGTTTATGAGAGATGTAAAAATGTGTAAAGCGGAAATACATATGTGGGACACTTTGTAGAGATAGTATCTTCCAATAATACTTGTGGTAAAGGTTCCGAACGGATACTGTCCGTACGACGGATCCTTGCTCCCGCATTACCCTGCTCTCAACAAGTTTACGTTTGAAGCTACATCACGGGGTAAAAGTCGATTGAACTAGCTAGTAACAGACCATAACCGCGAAATGCACGAGGGTATGTTGGACATTGAAGGAAAACCAAAAGTGTATAAATCAAAGGGTTTCTGCACAAGAGTTGCTATCATCATCAACTACAACATCCATCACCTACTTCAAACAACTTCTCCATCAATCTTTCCCCAAAAAACCTATCAGCATGCGTACTTCAATTTCCTTCGCATCTTTCTTTCTATGCGGTATCGCGACTGCCCAATTCGGTACAGATACGCTTCTCGGTAGCATGTCAGGAATGACATGCTCGAACGGCGAGTCAACACTGCTATCTGGCCAAACCCTCAAAACTGACACCAACTCGTAGGCCAAGTTCCAACCGTAACCTGCTCAGATCCCGTTCCAGAAATGTGCGGTTGCACGTGCAGCGATGGCGCCATGTTCAGCCACGAGCGACCTTCACATTTGGGACCATCCCCTATCCCGCCACCACCACCATCTGTTTTCGAACCACCCCACCAGCTCACGGAAAAGCCATGCACTGAACAAACCCTCCAGCCTTGGAAGCCAGTCGTAGTCAATCGTAAGCCGTACACAGGCACAGATTCAGGCTTAGTAAATGTATCATTTGAAGCGCCGGAAGACGGTGTGCTTGTGATATCGGATTCACATGGCCGTTGCGAGCACTTTGAAGTATATATTGACGATCGGCTGATTAGGAGAGACATCTGGAACTGGTCCTCTTGACTTCTCTCAATGCGGACTTCCAGATGAATGTATGGAGAAAAATGGGGGCCAACATGGATACTTTGCCCTTCCTAGAGGTAAGCCAGATATCCAGTTCCAACGGCGTGTATTGCGCAAATTTCTTGAGTCTATGGTAGTTATGGGACTAACACTTGGTGTAGGTAATTACAAGCTTGGGCTCAAGTGGACCAAGGTTACACCTGAATGCGATAGATCTTCGAGTGGAGAAGGCCACTATAAATTTCACCGTAGATGCTAGAGATACAAAGATAGAATGGCTGAGAGGAGATTATGAAAAGGGAAGAAGCATGAGAGGAAAATGGGCGGTGGTATGGGGAATTTGAAAGATGAGTATAAGGGCAGTGGTAGTGAGCTGATAATGGGTGGTAATGGAGGTAGTCCATCCAAGCAAAGCATTTCCCACCAACAGACTACGCGAACGATCCAGTAACATCCAACATTCTTCCAGAAAGACTTATTTAACAAGTTTCAGACCAGAAAACCCCACCTGGTAAAGAACCAAAGGCACGATGGAAATCGCCAATGTAATTCAAGACAGAATTGAAAGAAGAAGAAGAAGAAGAAACGACTCCACTTCATCTTCCACCCCTATTTACCTCCAAAAAAATAAACTTCTATAATACTAAATAACCTCTCTACAACAATTCCCCCCCCCCNTGGGATAGAAAGTATGCGTGTTGTGCAGATATTTGTCGGGTTGCTGCATTGCGGTCTGTCTTTGTTTTTGGGAATTAGTCGAGGCGCGGGCTGGGGGTCTATAGAAACTTTGGAAAACTTGGGAGACCTTGTTATCTTCGTTTTCGCTCTCTCTTTCCTTGATTTCCTCATTTTCCCAATCAGGCTTTTTCACACACACACACACACACACACACACACACACACACACACACACACACACACACTCTCTCTCTCTCCCAAGCCACAATAACAAACCAAGTCTCATATTCCCTCAACCCCAATACTTTTGCCCAAACAATACTCCGCAAGATCGGTATATAACAAGCAGATGTACAATCTACACAACAACGCACCGAAGCGAGTGTAGTAAAGACTCATCCGACACATGTATCTTGAAGAAGCGTTCAAAAAAACATGGAGGAGAATGGCAAGTAAATTCATCACAGGCGCGATAATCCACCATGCCATACACACGTCCATGCAATCCCAAATAGACACACCCTAAAACATCACGTAAACTACAACAGCGACCAAGAAAAATATTTTATTTTTTACCCTTTTTTTACAAAAAAAAGCCCCGTCTTTACCCCTACCCATACCCCCCCCCACTTTCACCTCACCTCCTCAACGGACTCCTAAACCCCACACTCCCAAACTGACTCCCTCCTTTCTTCGGCGTAGTCAAGGGCTCCGGTACCTCACCTCCTGCAGCACCAGCAGTAGTAGGTGGATGTCTGCTACCACCCACGGCCTTCCCCCCACTCCCCGGCGCCTTGAATCCCACCAGACTCCCCTTGGCATAAACATCGTTAAGAATCTGCTCCAAGACGCCCGCATCATCGAATTCCTGCCACTTGCGCCAGAGCTTAAGAGCCGTCGTGGCATCTTCAATGGAATCATGCGTATTCTCCTGGATACTTTCTTTAAGGACGCACCAGGCGAGGAATTTGAGGTTGAGTTTGCGTTTAAAGTCTGGTTTGAACCAGAGGTTGCTTGTGTCGACGACTTGGTTTTTGGGGACGTGGATGTTGATGGTACGGAAGTCGTTGGCGAGGGAGTGGCCGACGAAGACGCAGCCGAGATTGAGAAGAAGCCAGAGTTTTTTATAGGCGTGCTTTAGTGATACTGGGGCGTGAGGTGAGGTTTCGCGGTTGAGGTCGCCGGGGGAAATGCCGGACCATTCGGTGAGATAGTCGACGACTTGCTCAGTTACGGCGATGTAGTCGTCGATAAACGGAAGGCCTGCCTGTTCGCCTTCACCACGACAAACGGAAACGCGAGCAAGCCCTTTGCGATCTGGACGAATAGTTTGTCGTGTGCCATCGGCCTTCATCTCAATCTCTTCAGCTTGTAGGCGGATAAACTCAGCATCGATGGCGACCGGATAGCCAGGGCGAGGTGCTTCTGTCGCGTGATCAAGGAGTTTGAACTTGGTCTCTGGGGGTGTTGGATTCGATGACCACCACCTATACAGTATCGATGTGTCCAGGGTGTCTTTCCACGAGTCGTCAATCTTGTTACGGGCAGACTTGAGTTGGAACGTCAAGACAGACGGCAGCTTCCAGCTTGGTTCGAACCGCAAAGCCTCTTCCTTTGGTATTGGCCGTACTAAGAAATCGTTGAAGAGATGCCACCTATCTTCTGGATCATCTTCGCGTGACGACGGTGCTGTATTGATGGTTGCCACCAAGTGTGGCTTTTGGTGCTCTCCACTGTTGATGTCGGCAACTACACCAACAAGCTCATACACCATAATCTGATGTACTCCACGTTGCAGGTGAAGCTTCAAGTCCTGGCCTTCAAAGCAGAAGAATTGGCCCTGATCTACTATAATCCCAATCTCTTGCGGCAACCAGTTCGGTATTGACCACAGCAGCTTAGCATCGTGGCTCTGAATAGCCGCATTCAGCATGAGTACGCCAGGAACAGACTGTATAGTCTTCCTCTGTATCATTTGCTGGTAGCGATTGCATTTTGTACACCAACCTCTGGTCTGATCTTGTCGTTCGACGCTAGCCTTTAGGATCTGCGAGAATGTAGGGCGTGGTATGCGCGTGTTCTTCATGACGTGTTTTGCCGGATACACAAGTTCATTGACAAAGTTCTTACCCCCGCGAATGGTCTCGTTGGTGCATTGGGCACACCGCATGCTTGCTCTGGCCTGTGTCTCCAAGACTTGGTCCATGGCCGATGGGCCGGGCTGACTAGGCAGCATCTGTCTGAACTCGTCTGATATTTTCTCAAGCAAGAATCGATTCAAATTCTGAATCATGTTTGTAAGTGCCACATTCGGCGCAAACTCTTCCAGTAAATTCAGTGATACTGCGTTTGATAGTCCGCTGAATGTCTTCAAAAAGTTGGAAGCTTGGCAATTTAATCCTGAAGCCTTTTCGAGCATGTCTATCAAGAAGCCTAGCTCGCAAAGAAGGCAAGACTCGAAAAGGCATGGCGATGCGGTGTGCTGCAGTGCTAGGTTGCGAATCAACGGTGTAAAGCGGAGAAGCTGCAAGAGTGAGTTGGCGTAGGAATTTGTAATGTGCGTTTCCAAGCCCGAATAAGATGTTTGATTATAGTACCTGGATCCGAGTCAGACGAGAAACAAGTAAGCGTAGGTGTTACGACATACGCGAAGTCAAAGTCGTCTACGCCAAACTTGCTGTATTTGATCTCCACGTTTCCATACATTGCAGGAACGTCTCGTCTGGTGACGTCATCAAGGTGTAGGTCAGTCAGTTTCTCCATTGTCTCTGATGATTTCGAGTCGGTTTCCGTCAAGGACTGCGAGGCGCGCGTCTTTTCGCTCAAAAATTTGGGTGCCGACAACGATTCGCTCACTTTGTCCGCATGTCGAGTCGCCTCGGCCTGATTCCTGCGCTTGGTTTTGGGATTTTTCGCAAAGAAGCCAATTTCAGCACGCGTCATGTTGTTGAGGATTGCGCTATCAATCTTCGGGGCAGGAGAGCCGACTTCGAATACCAGATGACTAGGCCAGCTTGAGAGAAGCTGTTCTTTGTAGTAGGGCATACCCACGGTATTCAATGGCCTGATGATTCTGTCAGTAAAGCGCTCGCCCCGGCTTCGAATCTACCTACGTGTCCGGATTCCAATCCATGGCTGGGGGCGGCGGGACGTTATGGTCCGCAGTCTCTGTTGGGTTGCTGTATTCTGGAAAATGAACCTTGGACGGGGAGCCCCATAGATGGATATGAGAATTGGAGTCTGCCAATGCAATAGCCTCGCCTGATGGGGCCATCTCAAAACCAGTCAGATAGGATTCATAGAGATTGAGCTGGCGAAGATTTGCCGAGTCTGGATTCATCAGGTCGATAACCTGCATCTGGCCGTTTTGCGATGCGATGAATGCCGTGGTCGACATGCGAGGATGCATTCGGACAAAGGCCGCGCCCGTGTGAAAAGGAATCGGGGGCAGCTGCTTCAGCGTCTTAAGTGAAAAGACGTTCGTAAAGGGATCGAGCATAAAGGCGAACTGCTGCCTAGGCGACCAGCCACATGTTGCAAGAAAATCCCCCTTTGCGTCCATATCACTAATACTGCTAGTGTGACCCTCGAAAACCTTGATGACTGATAGCGAGTTGGAATCAATGATGTGAATGCCACCATTCTTGGTCGCAGCGCAGAGGTACTGGCCCGCGCGCTTCATAATTGTATACTGAGCTTCAGCTGGCAGCTGCATAGGTCAGCCGTGTACCTTTGTCGCATGGACCAAAACGTACAGTATCCGTAATGACGCCCTTGTCCACGTCTACCTTGAACATGTGCTCCTGGCATCCTGCGACGAGGATCTCGCGCGTGCCCTTGGAGGTAAAGTTCATGCATCTCAGATCTTTGAAGTCAGGGCTTCTATATGCTGGCGATTAGCTGCTGCCCATGATTGTGCTTGCATAAACATACGTCAGATGCCAATGTGTGAGGCCGCGCCGGTGGGAGTAATGGACGCTTTGCTGGGAGACGGAGAGGATGCCCTTGTCGGTGAAGAGGAATTGCTTAACAGGGCCGTCGGGAGGCGCGTGTCCGCGATAAGAGGTATATCGTTCAAGGTGAGGTCCATAAAAGGACGTGACCCGTCCCTAGGCAGTGTCAGCTGCAATGCGCTCCAGGCTGGCCGAGTGCGAACGTACTCACATGGTTGTTACCTGTCCATAGCAGTTCTTGGGTTGTGTCAAAAGCGAATGTGGATATGGGCACGGCAGGGAGATGTGGTCCTGGGGGCGGCAGTTGAACGATTGCTAGCTGTCGGGCTGTCTGTTAGTGATGATGATGCGCTTCGACGATTGAACAACATGGTACCTCGTCCCAATCCGCTTCCATGATGAATATGCGAGTCGCAATGCAGTGCGTCTACAAGACGGCTGCGACATGCCTCGGTCGGCTATGTTTACGGTCGCGTCGCGGGTGGTGCAGCATTAGGGCGTGGGGTGGAAGTGGCAGTTTGGGGCTAAGGGACGCGAGTGCGAGGGTGCGTTGGGTCTTCTTGGTGGAACTGCGGGGCATCTATTCATGAATACCCACAACGACGCGACAGTATTTGGGGTCAATGCCGCATGGAAACATCACTTGATATACAACGGACAAGAGTAAATCATGAACAATTGATTGAAAAATGGATTTGGTCCATATCGACAGCCTGCAACTACATAACGACTAAAGCAGATATATGCACGTGCAGGAGGGAACATTGGGGTATGCCTTACCTGACACATGGACCTCTGTTCAGCACAGCAGATTTCGTAGTCGCTTGCGTCAGCTTCAAATATGGAAGGGTATCGAACGCCTATCGAGCGGATCGTGCTTAGTGACATGACCGGACAGGTGAGATTTGTTTGCCCAAGAATCATACCAGAAATATGCAGATGCCGGGAACGCCGTGATGATGCAAGCGCGGACTCGTGGAAATGAATATCATGTAGGATAAAGGGCTGCATCAAGTCAGCAAGGGTCCTTCTTGAACAAGGCTGAAGAGCATGGCGGCTCGACGAGGTGCGTTTTGCTGTTTCCTGCCTGACGTGTCTAGGTCTGGTGTCGGCCAAAGGGCATTGTAAGCCAGAGATTCAGACATTTGATAAGCGTTGGAATGTACTACTACATACCGCGGAGAATTCAGCAAGCTGATGCGTAGCTTTCTCAAGAGCACCCGCCTTAAGCAGGGTAGTCGTCGTCATTGTCAGCATCGGCTTTGTGATCGTAGCGCTGACGCTTGTGGGTTTCGGTCATGCCCTTGCCAGAGCCCGTGAAGCCGACTGTTAATCATTAATAAAGGACGGACACAAGAGTAGAAGAGATGCATACCTCTGCTGCCAGCCTCGGTGCTGGTACGGAACATGGATTCCTTTTTGGCGACACCCTTCTTGGAGACTTTGTTCTGGAAGTCGGCCCAAGCGGAGGCGCGCTTCTTGAGGGTTCCCTTTGTAGGAACTCGGCTGGGCTTCTTGTTGGCCATGTCTTCATTTGTACCGGCAGGCTTGGCAGCCACGGCGTTGGGATTCGTCGTGGCAGGACCCGAGATGACATGCGAAGAGGTGACGGGGGCCGAAGAGGTCGGGGTCGAGGCTGTGTCGGGTTCTCGCTTGCGCTTACTTGGAAGAGGGCGGACGGCGGTGCGGTCGACGGTCATGGTATCGTCGTACTCGATGAAGCGGACGAGATACTTGGGTGCTGAGACGGAACCCAGGATACTCTGAATCTTTGCCTTGTACCAGGACCTGTCAGTCCACTGGGCCTCGCAGATGTCTCCGATACTAAAGGCGACAGTCTTTTCGGGCTCCTGCTTCTCCATGGCCTTGCGCAGAACGGGATGCTTCTCAGGGTCGAACTTGGGGCCTGCAGGCTCGGCAGCAGCCGGGGCTTGGGGCAATTGAGCCTCGAGGGCGGCCAGCTCTGGGCGGAGGCGGTCGAGTTTGGCATCGTGGTGAGCAATGGTTCCGATCATCTCACTGCGCATGGATTTCATTTCCTGGTTGTCGCCAGTGTCCTTGAGCAAGGCATCCATCTGGGCCAGCTGTTCGGCCCATTCTGCGCGCTGGGCCTCTTCCTGGGCAATCTCCTGCTTCTTCGCGTTGATGGCATTCTTGGTGTACTTGAGCTGGTCGGCCATTTTGTGAGGAGATGTGGGATGGACAGATGAGAGTGGGTAAGGTGGGGGTTAGGGTGGTGACAACGTAGGCGTGGCGGGTGAGGAAGTCGCGTCGTGGAAGCATGACGGCTGGAGGCAGGCACGAGTCTTGGCGACGCCCCACCGTTTGTGAACCCTTGATTATTCCCCAGCTCTCAGCCCTACCGCCGCTCTCCACCCGCAATCAATCAACACACTTGGTACTTGGTTACTTGCATACTAGCCACACGATGCATATCAGTCAGCAGTCAGCAGCTGGTGGTTGGCTGCTGGCTGCATGGTAGAGCCGATCAAGATGCATCTCCAACATGCGACGACAACGGCAGCAGGCCCTGCACAGCCAAGGACAGCGAGCACTAGGGTCTCATACATATGGTCGAAATGAAAGCAATGCTTTCTTGGGGCCAAGCAGTGCACTGTGTAAGTACTAGATGGAGCTTAGAGTGTGGTGCTATTCGAAGAGTTCATAGGGTAGATAATAATAATAATAACAACACACTAAACACCTGCCCTTGCAGGAACAGGCGTCGGTGTTGCTGTCGGTCGTTCATGTTCGAGGGCCTTCTGTCCGCACCTGCACCCCCACCACACCGCGTGCTTAGCAATCAGCCACGGGCCCCTCCGCACCTCACTGATTGACTGCATTCACATTCACTGCTGCGCCCTTTGCCCATCCCCGACTCCCCATCGGCCTCTCTGATGACCCGACTCCATTCCACTCTCCCCTCGCAGCCACAGCCCCTCCCTCGTTCCTCACGTGCTTTGCTGCTGGTCCGCCGCAACACAACCGCCGCACGCCGGGCTCGGAAAAAAGTCGCACCAAGTCCTTCCATCAGCCAGGGCAAGGGTGTCGCCTCATCCCACTGCGCCCTTAGGCCTCCTCATCCTGCCTCTGGCCACCTTGCTTCCACCCACTGCCCACGCCCCCTCCCCGTCTCCCTCTCCTTCTCTCTCGCCAATATTCGTCCGCCCTCTGCACGGGACGCCCTGATATCGGCGCTTTTGCACCTGCTCAGCGGCCGTTTACCGGCAGCCTACCCGCTTTTACCCACCCTGCACACTGCTCTGTTCCACCCACACCTTTTGCGTCATCCTTATCCCTCACACATTTATCATACACTCTACCTGCTCTCAGTCCCGTGACGCCGCGCCGCGTCGCTTCAGGTGGCAACAATAGTCACTCGTAGTCTGACCCTCACTCCCATCGACCCCGCGGAGTCTCCGCAGCTACCCAGCTCACCCACTGCCCCAGCCGCCTTTCCACACTCACCCCAGCTTTCGCAATGGCCGGCACAGGCAACGATTTCCAGAATGGCGCGCCCTTCTACCTAGATGCCACGCAGCAAGACCTGCTCCTCGCTGCCCTCGCTTCCAACAACCAAAACCCCAACGACCTCTTCTCCACAGGCCTCCACAATGGTCATCACAGCAAGCAATCCATGGACGACGCGCAGTTCCAGTATCCCGTCGACGCCCTCGACCCCGCCTACTTCACCTCGCCTCAGCAATCCACAGGCGGCACTGGCTTCAGCAACGTCGGCATCGAAGAGAGCCCTTTCATCGACTACCTCGACGGCGACAACGGTTTCGACTTTGAAAATGCTGACGGCGACATGATTGGTGCCCTTCCTGGCGACACTCCCGGCGACTCGAGCGAGAAGCGCAAGAGTCCTGGTGACGAAGAAGCTGAAGACGACGAGGGAGGCGGCAAGCGCAGAGAAGGCGAGGATAAGCAAGCTAAGAAGCCAGGTCGCAAGCCGCTGACTTCTGAGCCTACAACTGTAGGTCGCTAACGGGTGATGACTACTTGATCAAAAACTGACTCTAGCAATAGAAGCGCAAGGCCCAGAACCGCGCCGCCCAGCGGGCTTTCAGGGAACGCAAGGAAAAGCACCTCAAGGATCTCGAGACCAAGGTCCAGGAGCTCGAAAAGGCCTCTGATGCTACAAACCACGAGAACGGCTTATTGCGCGCGCAGGTACAAAGGCTGCAGATGGAACTTCGCGAGTACCGGAAACGCCTGTCAATGAACAGCAGCGGTCTCAGTCGCACCCCACCGCTCACTGGAGGCTTCAGCTCCATGCTCAACACCAACACCACTGTGAACAACTTTTCATTTGACTTCCCACGTTTCGGCGGGCTTCCAGGCGCTCAGCTCCTCGACAACGGCTCACTGACCAAGAACAAAGACGCTTCCGTGTCTTCGAGCGTATCGGGACGACACAACAGTACCGGACAAGACCTCAGCCCGAACAGCAACGCCAATGGTTCCACCACCGACTCTCCCGCCCCAATGAGTGCAGGAGCAAAGACTCAGCGCTCTGGCAGCTTGAACGGTTTCTTTGGCTTCAGCAACAACAACAGCAGCAGCAGCACAACAAACAATGGAGCCTCTCGCAGCAACACTGCAAGCTCCACGGGATCACAATCACGTGTTTTCCAATTCAACAGTGGTTCATCTAACCATTCTGACTCGCCTTCGAATTCTTCCACATCGCCCACCAATCAAAACTCGTCCTGTGGTACATCCCCAGAACCAAGTCATGCTTCGCCCAACCAGCAGGCAGACACAATCACAGACGGCTATGTGTGCCATGGAAACTCCGAAGGTGAGGTGCTCTTCTGCGAAAAACTCAACATGGCCTGTGGAAATCCTCGTAACCCCATGCCTCGTGCCATGTCTCAATCTGACGCCAAACCTTCTCCCGCAGTCTTATCCGCCAAATCCCCGACTCCTGCCGTCACCGGCATCGACTACCTCGCGAATCAAAACGGCGGCCAATTCGACCCTACTCTCTTTGGAGAGTACCGCGATACCCAAAACGCCATTGTTGGCGACGGCGACTTCACCGGTGGCTTCTTCAATGACGCATTCCTCAACACTGGCTATGTCAGCCCCTTCCACTTTGGTGATACACCAGCTGTGCAGAAGCCAAATCCTCTCGACGAGATTGAGCGTGCACAAGAAGGCCAGGATGGTGACGACGAAGTGGTTCCAGGCGAGGATGTCAACTCGCTTCTCAACTGCCACAAGATTTGGTTAGTGGAGTTTGCACATATTGAAGCCATGGATTCACTAACAGCACGCAGGGACAAGCTCTCAAGTCGCCCAGATTTCAAGGATGGCACCATCGATATTGATAACCTGTGCAGTGAGCTCCGCGCCAAGGCCCGCTGTTCTGAGAGCGGCGTCGTAGTCGACCACAAGGATGTCGAAGAAGCCCTGAAGCGGTTACCTAAGGAGAACAAAACTCTCGGATAATTTTTCTCATCTGACTGAAAAAATTCTGTGCATTGGGTCGGATGGTTTAACGGCGCAATGATGGTTGATACCTCTGTCTGCGAGTTTGGAAAAACTCCCAGCTCACAACTCTTTTCTTTGCAATATTCTGGGTCTTTTTTTCTCATCGGGTTGCGCTGCAAACTTGCCACACTTCCACTCGCTCTCTAGTTTCTCTATGCTCGCAAATTGGTTTGTGTGGCACCATGCTGTATCATGTCTTTGTGATTTTGATCTTGGTATGAGAGTTCCATTGTAATGTCTGGGCTGCTTTTTTGGTTTGATGGCAGTGGGCTGGCGTATATGATGAAATGATATGATGTATAGTTAGTTCCTAAAATAAAATATATGTTTTTGGACCGTGCTTCACTATCGAATACGATAAGTTGATGAACGAGTTTGGGACAATTCTTTTGATTTGCTTAACTGCTGAATAATAATGTAGAAAATAATGCCCGTAATGTCATAGTTCAAGACACTTGTGTCTGTCTTAGAAGATGGCAAAGAAGTAAGGAGGATTAATTCAATAACACCTCCGTCACATCTCTCATTGACGATACCCGATTTCAAATACATCAATCTATCAAGCCCTACACCCTCAAAGCCTTGCTGATTCCTTCGGCTCACCCGTCGCACCAACTTTCTTCAGTGCATCCCAGAGCCTGAGACCTTCTTCGATCCTCGTATCTTCTTCAACTACAACCCGACCATCACTCTTCAACGTCCGCAATTGCATCGCATGCTCCGTCCCCCACTCCATATCCTCTCCCCTTAAAAACTTACTCAGCGGGTGATGAAATGCCCGTGCTGCAATCTGCTTTTCCTCCTCAGTCAAGTCGCTGCCATTGCCCCAGAACCAGATGGGAATGTCAGACCCGTGCGTGACGCCAAAATGGCTGGGAAGCTCATTGTCCACGCACCGTGCACGCCACTCGATGCGATATCTGTGAATTAGACTGCCGGCTCCATGTTCTACAAGCGCATTCACCATTCCCCGTCGTAGCGCGTGAATCTGCACATCAGCGTAGATGTGGCCAAACGCCTCCTGCCAGCTCTTAAATCGCGATGGAAGCTTCCGGTCAGGAAAGTAATGTGACATCAGTACCTTACAAGCTTCCCGAGGATAGTCGGCTTCGAGGCGGTGCAGCATGTAAGTGTAGCCTGGCTGAGGCGGGCGCCAAGTCCCGTACATGAAGTGCTCGTCTTTGCACTCACCAATGATGAGCTGAATATTGCGCCGCTTCATTCGTTGGGCGTATACACCATTGGACAGCTCTTCCAATAACCCATGGCGAACAAACACTCCATCCGTCACCGCGCGAAACTGATGCAACTTCATCTTCCCACTCGCCTTGACAATCTCACTAGCCGGCACCGCCCTTAGCCTCCCCAGCTGCTCCGCGGGCCCCAATCCGGCATCGATCCCCAAAACCCGCATCAGCTCTTCAAACTGATCTTGCGCCTCGTCCAAGCTCTTTGGTTGCATCCCCGGCCCATTCGACAGCATCATGGCCCTCTTCACTACCGCTTTGCTCGCGGGCAACCCCAAGTCATACGACAACTGATGGAACACAGAATGCGAGCCAGCCGAGTAACCACCTAGCGTGATATTCGCCGCGTCACCCCCAAAATACGCGATATTCTCGTGAGTCCATTGCAGCGCTAGCCGCTGATCCCAAAACCCTACGTTAGCATCGTACTCGCCGCTACCGCTACCGCCACCGCACGCGTCATCGAGCTGACGTGAACCCAAGAACCCAAATACATTGAGGCGGTACGCGGGGGCTACGATTATGCAGCGCGTGGGCGAGTCGGAGAGGAGAGACCGGAGATCGAGGCCGTTGGGGGTGCCCCATTGGAGGAAGCCGCCGTCTAAAGTTTTCAAATAAGAAAAAAGGTCTCGAGTCAGTTTTATGTGAAACGTGTGTTTTTTGGTGATATATCTCCTTTCCGGCGATGTGGGACGCGAAAGGTCAAGTGCCGTGCCCGATGTTGATGCGGAACTAAAACGAAAACAGGGTTGCACAGGCTTTTTGGGTTTTCATTGCTTTTTTCTGTCTCCCTTCCCCATGTTTGACCCGTGTACTCGGGATGTTCCATTTGCCATTTGCCATGGCGGGAAGATCACCCGTGGACCTGGATGCTGGATACAAAAAAGTGGCGCAATCACATCGGCCCAATAATAAGTTTAAACAGAAGATAGGACAAAATGACAGAAAACTGGGAAAAAGGAGATGGGGAAAGAAAGAAAAAAAAAGGGAAATTCCACATACGAATCCAAAATAGCACTGGCCAGCCTAAACTCCCCACGTTAGCTCATTACCTTCCCTCTCTCTCTCTATTGCACAAGCTCGAAAAAAACTGACCTCCCACTGGTACCTCACCGCTCGGAACCCAAACATTACACTGCAAACAGTCTTCCTCTCCGACTTGATCCTCTTTCCCCGGTCCAGACGCTGGCTGCGGACACACTCCACAGGCGCCGTCAAACACCCCCGGGTTAACCTGCGTGCCGTAGCGATAGCACGGCGGCAGCGGTTTCGCGCGCTGGAAGCGTTGCGCAGGGAGCGCGTAAGGTATGCCGCCGAAATAGTGGCATTGCGGGAGCCCTGTTTGCGGATCATGAAATGTGCGGCCTTGGGCGTAGCCGCGAAAGGAGAGGGAGACGGTGTATGGAATTGACGTCGACATTCTGACGCGAAATGGGTTGTATGGGTTAGTAAAAAAAAAAGGTTGGTTGGTTGGTTGGTTGGTTGATTGGTTAGAGAGATGTTGGAGAAGGGAGTGGTTTCAATGATGATTTGATGGTGACCTCGGTTATGCAGGGCATGGGTGTGATCTGCAACGTTTGCATGTGGTAAAAACGCCAGGGGGGCCGCAACCTTGAAAAGAAGTGTTATAGTTTTTGCAAAATCATGGATATCATTTGTTTCGTGGAAGTTTTACAAGTACATTTGAAGGAAAGAAGATTTGATGAACAAAGGAAAAAGGGGGTGTCATGCCCATTCGTCTTGACGCCGTGAAATCGCACTTCGGTCGTCTTCTGTCACGGTGACGTGTGTGGTTTTCGTAATTGCTTGGTCGGAGCTATTTGTTGGCCTTGCGATTCCTTCATCGGGTAGTATGCCCAACTCGCTGTCGCCATCTGTTTCCGGTTTGCCCGGCCAGGACTTGGCAGTCGACCGCGCCTCCATGTCGTCGAGCATGTAGCTTTGACGGGATACTTTTGAGCCTTTGCCTGAGGAGCCGGTGATGCTGGTGGGAAGGATCTTGCGCAAGAAGTTTTCGAATGTTTTCCGTAGTGGGGGTAGTGAAGCGGTGAATGCGCCGACGAAGACTTCGGCTGAGGCAAAGATGCTCAGGTTGACAGATTCGAAGCTTGGGTCTTTGGTGTTGGCCAGCGCCTTCATTTCGTGTAGTTTTAATGCGGAGATTGTTGTTGTCCTAGAGTTTTGTTAGTGGGATGCACAGAGAAAGTCCAGTGTATTGGGACCTGTGAAACTTACACAAGACCGCAGAGAAAGACTGCGCGGACACCCCAGATTGTGCGCTTCGAAAGCTGAACCCGCGAAATGTACACCAAAGGCGCCATTGTGTACAGCAAATCCGTCGCAATGTTGACTGCTGCTCCAGAGTAGCCCGAGATAACCCTCGGCTCTGATCCCCAACATGAACCAGGCTTGGTTCCCGTCACGTCCCAATGCTTGGAGTAGGGCGTGCATTCCCCGAATAAAACCACCGTGGGAAACACAAAGTTGATCCCCACATGCACAACAATCGAGATCCAGATCATGATGCGAAAGGTCTTGGAAAAGTCGAGCATGAAAATGTAGGCGCAGACACTAAGCTTGACCAGTGCCATTCCGTAGAGATTGAGTATCTGGCTCAGCCAAACATAGTAGAGTTGTTTTTCCAGGCGTTGTGGTGTCATGAATGGATCCCAGACGTGCTTTCCGCCACCGTATTCAGCCATTTTGTAGCAGCATGCACCGCCTGCTATAGCTACTACCTTTGATCATGTTAGGACGAAACGTGTAAGAGTCAAAGGGCTACACTTACATGTCCAGTCCATAGCAAATGATCTGTGAGAAGAAAGAAATTCCTGTTCCTCCAATTGATGCCCAGTCGAATTGCAACGAAGATGGAGCTGAATATAATCAATACAATAAGTGGTATCTTGATGGCATTTGAACGATCGTCCAGAGGAAGCCCTTCTGGTGTCGTAGGCACGGCCATGGCGGTATGAGGAAAACTAAAAACTGGGAAAAGAAAGAAAAGGTCTGGGCGAGTGGGCCGATGTGTATTGTCCCGGTATGTTAGTGCCCTTACCAAGACAGATGTTGTGCAGTAGTTGTACCAGGTGCCACGTGGGTGTGCGAACCGTTATAATATTCGCCCATTAATGCTACGGAAGTACACAGCCAGCCGTCAAAACCTGCCCATTCGAAACACACGGTTACGAAATCCTACAGCGGCCAGAGTACCTGCATATGGTTTGGTGGTAGTCGCGCGAGTCAACGCTTAATCCGTACTTGGTGAGTCAAGGGATGATTTCGCCCGAGTTTCCCCACTCGAGATCTCTGTTTATCTCTTAGTATGAGTAAACCCGGTGTTTAGCGTATTTGGAAAAGGCATTTGTTAAACCATGGTTGTTTGTTAATCTTTACGCTTGCCTAGAGCCATGTCGCTACTGTTTTCATTTCAGAGTAGCAGAGAGTTTCGAAATGTCGACCAAGGGCTGGACGCCTCGAGGTAAGTTCAATAGTCCTGACCGTTAGAGAACTTGTGAAGACTTTTGCCCATTGATCAGGTAGGATGTTTTGGGCATAGTCAGCGGTCACGTCTTTGACTGGCCAGGAAAGGTTCGTGTCGTTGAAGCAAGGTTAACTTGGGATGGCGTTTAGGCCAACAGTTTTCAGGTTCGGCATGGCCGTCCTATGGCATGTGGCTGCCGCCAGAATTACATTTGATTACGAGCCCTGGGCTAAACTAGGAACGGTGCAAGTACACAAGTGTAGCTCGCGCCTCTTGACACATCCTACCTGAAGTAGCTCGCCAGGCCGAGGTTGTCAGCCAGTTGTGCTAAGGATTGTCCTACGGACGTAGCGAAACCCTCAGGCGCCCCAGGTTAACCGTTTCAAGATCCCGCCTGTTTGAACATCGGACGTTTGATCTGCAGCGGGGCTGAGAAGAGGCTTTGTTGGATGGAGAGCTGTAATTGTTGCAAAGTTTGAGAGGACGCTAGGTAGTTGCTGGTCGCTGTGCAGGTAATTTAGTTTGGCAGCCACAGCCATCGATGCCCAATTAGGCGATGCCAGACGCCACAGGCGATCTAGACGATGAATAGCGTCTGGCTTAGCCAAATGTCGATACCCTAGACATCGGGAATAAAGCTAGCAAGACTAGTCAGGAGCAGGCCGATAATGAGCAAAGCGGCGTTCTCGCCAAGAGTTAATATGCCGTGTCTATTATCGCTCGCTTCCAGGCCACGGCTCCTGCAGGATTGACCCAAAGTTTCAACCCCCTGTACCTACATGAACAGCTACGCCATCGCCATTTCCCCCACCTTTTTTCCGGCATCGACATAAAAACAGGGTCACGGGTCTAGGCCTACATGGGAGCTATGCTCTTCTTTGTCAAAGTGGCGCTTGTCATACGATATTGCACAAAGTTTTTGCCTACAATAGCCATCCAGCTGCGCCGAATTTTCCTTCGTGTTCATCATCGTTATGTTTGGTTCCCTCCATTGATCTAGACCCTGAAAACATGCCATTACATGGTCCGCTGATTTGAAAATGTGCTATTTAGAAGACCCGTTAGTAAAGAAGACATACCTACCTGCTATGCCCACGCTACGCCGGTCTAGACTCAGCATCACGCTGTGAGCGCGTTGAGCTATTGGCAATCTTCGCTTTCCCGAGCGTTGAGAAAACCAGGCAAGGAGACTCTTATGGTCAATGATGTCGCCACACTCGCCGTACTCGCCGTGCCTCGCCTGCAGCAGACCACTGGCTAGTTGTACAAAGTTTCGGGTAACTATGCTGCCTCAGGGGAGGTCTATCCGCAAACTACGTACTAGCATTTATCGATTCTGACCAGTAGCGAGTAAGTTCACGTATAAACCTTCCATTTACCTCGCTTTAAGGAGCTAGAGGGACTGTTGATTTCGTATTTTGCACCTCTCACTGGGTGCCTACACATTTCTTCAGCTTACTTACGCTCATTATCATGTCTTTAATTTTATCTGGTCTTTTGTTTCTTTCCTCTTTCGTACCACGCATAACCAATCCCCAAAATGGTGGTAACAGCAATACGGAGCCCGATGTTGGCGGGCAAATCTTTGACTTCATTATTGTGGGCGGAGGACTAACTGGACTCACTGTTGCCAACCGGCTTAGTGAAGACTCGGGCCGTGAGTGTTTTCCTTGGACTTGAAAGTTCCAATTTGACCCTGTTCAAGGCACTGTGCTCGTAATAGAAAATGGGTACGCGGTTGATGATATTTCAACGCGAGTACCCAGCTTCGCAAACAGCGTGAACAAACCGCTCATGTACGATATTACTTCAGCATATGACACAAACACTGGTAGTTCACACCCCGTCTGGGTAGGGAACGTTCTGGGCGGAGGGTCAGTCGTCAATGGCATGGCCTTTGACCGTGCATCTGCTGCCGACTACGATGCTTGGGAACAACTAGGTAACAACGGATGGAACTTCAACAATCTCCTGTACTACTTCAAAAAATCAACGACTTTCACACCGCCAACCGACTCCAATGTCAAAGAGTTTGGCACCACATACGACGCATCGTACTACGGCACCAACGGCCCCATCCAGGCTTCCTTCCCCAAATTCGAGTATCAAGACACCAAGACAATCTGGGCGGCCTACAAGAGGGCTGGTGTGCCCTTGCCAAAGGAGCAAGGTTCAGGCAAAGCTGTAGGCGCGTTCTGGATACCCACTGCTCTGCGACCCAAGACACAAACACGGTCTCACGCAAAGAATGAATACTATGATCCTATCAAGAGCCGCAAGAACCTCGTAGTCATCACCGGAAATACCGTAAATGAGATTCTCTTCAACAGCGGTCTCTTGACCGGACTCACAGCTAGCGGCGTCCAATACAAGTCGCGCAGGGATGGCTCTGTTAAAAGGGTGTACGCTAGGAATGAGGTGATCATGGCGGCTGGCGCAGTCTTTACGCCTCAATTGCTTCAGCTCAGTGGCATTGGCCCTAGGGACGTGCTCAGTGCCGCTGGTGTACCAGTGAAGAAGCATATGCCAGCCGTCGGTGCCAACATGCAGGATCACCCCAACGCCAACATGATGTTCGATCTGCAAAACCTCGCTTTCCCAAACCCTTTCAGCGGCGCCAACCCGGACTTCAACACTACGGTGTGGTCTGAATATGATAGCACCGCCAGTGGACCTCTCACTCAGGCCCATGGCAGCAGCTTGGCTTTTTTGAGTCTGCAGACCATCACGGACAAATGTAACGAAATTGTACAGACAGTAAAGTCGCAAGATGTGCGCAGCTACCTCCCTGCTGTCTATGGCGACTATTACCTCTTGCGCGGATTCCAAAAGCAACGCGACATCATTGCCAACCTCCACGCCAGTCCTGATGCTGCCGTCGCCGAGTTCCCCATGGTCCCTTTCGGTCTCGCCATCAACGCCCTGCAGCGTCCGCTTTCTCGCGGCACAATCACACTCAACCCAAAGAACAAGTACGGAAACCCCGTTGTCCAGTTCAACTCTCTGCAAAATCCCGTCGACCGCCAAATCATTCTTGCAATGGTCCGGTGGACGCGCAACCACTGGACGAGCCCCGATCTCGCCAAATTCTCCCCCGTCGAACTCTCACCCGGTGCTCAAGCGCAGACAGACGACGAGATAATCAACGATCTCATCGGGCAAAATGGGCTTCAAGCCTCTTTTGCACACATGTCTGGTAGCTGCTCGATGATGCCAGAAGCGTATGGCGGCTGTGTGAGCAGCGATCTTACCGTGTACGGTATCAAGGGTCTCAGCATCGTAGATGCAAGTATCATTCCACTGATCCCCGCAACACACTTGCAATCCACAATGTATGCTGTTGCAGAGAAGGCAGCAGATCTCATCAAGAACAGGCATTCTTTTAATATTCTGGATCCCTTCTCCATCTTCAAGGCGAGGAAAGTGAGTATATTCTAGTGTTGCGTTGTCACGAAACACATTCTTTTGTAAATAGTTTTTATTTTGTAATACCACAATTATGCATTCAAGGCCAAAGTGACAAGAGTCAGGCTGCCCATGTCATTCATTCATTGTTCACTGATACCGTACTATGTAACATCCCTTGCCTTAATCCTCGTCGCCACCCGAGCCACCGCCCTGCTCGAACCGGTCGCAAGAGGGGAAACGGTAGAAATCTCCCGCCGGATCTTCCCAAAAGTCATTGTTGTTGATATAGCAGAAATCGGTCGTCAAGCTCCAGCGCTCGATGGGCCCCTCACTAGGGAGGTTATTGATGGTCTTGAGACATTGCAGCCAGACCTCGTTGTTGAACTCGAATGTCTTCTCGATTTTGCACGACTCCTTGGGACAGGAGCGGCAGTAGGCGTACTCCTCGCCGACAGTGACGTTGATGAGGTACATGACATTCATGTCTGCTTCGCGTTTGGGAATAGGCGCAGGCACGAGCTCTGGCTCTGGCTCTGGGGTCGGCTCACGCCTGTTCACGTCGCTTGTACCGTTTTCATTGTTGTGGTGTAAGATCTCGAGAAATGGGACGGGGCCGCAATCATCCAGCTTGGTCAGGTCAGGTTTCGAGTACAAGTTTTTCCTTGCGACGTAGCAGTTGTTTGTTGTTTTGTGCCAGTATCTGTGCGCGCATTCATGTCAGCTGACTTTCGTGCCGTGTGTGTTGGGCAATGGAGAGTCACTCACGGATCATCAATGATGAGTTGTCCGTCTGGATACCAGCAAGTCAGGTCCAACTCGGTGTTCTCGTTGAGATATGATACGACATCGCAGTTCAGCTCGGGGCAGATTCTGCACTCAGTCTTGTATTTCAGTTTTGCATCTTGAAGGGTAAGCCTCTGAACCTCAGAAGCGGGGCCGCAGTATTTAAGATCAGTTGTGTCTAGCGAGCGACTGTTAGTTGTTTTCCTCAAGTCTAATCTCAATTGTACTTACAGTCTCCAGCGTACTCTAGCACATCGTACTGGGTTATGTAGCAGCCAGCCTCAGTCTTGAGCCATAAGTTATCTCCCATGATCTTCGTTCCGTGTGTCCAACATGTTACGTTGAGGCGCTCTTCGTATTCATAGTAAAGCTTATTAGGACAAAGTGAGCGTGGGCAGGTTTTGCACTCTGTACGGTACTCTGCTTCAGTCGGAATGTAAGACTTGACTTGGGCATGTACTGTCACAGCCGCAACTAGTACAGTTGCTAGAAATGAAGGGATAAAGCCACGCATGTTGGTTTACAAGCGGCTGTAGCAGAATGAACGTTTACCAGTGTGAGAGGATGAATGATCGTAAGAAAAAATCGGCAGCAAGAGCAGTATAAATATTCATTCTCGAATCAACCCACGTCTGACAGCTGACATTTCAGCTAGGGCTGCGTACAGAAGAATTTCAGACTACTCTTTTAGGATGCGAAGATATATGAACTCGTATCTGTATGTAATCATGCACTTTGGTGCAACCAGGAGGTGTAACAACAATATACGTCTATAAAGAAAATAAGCGGCCAGACATCTTGCACACCGTGAATTCTATTCATTTCAGATAGCAAGCATATAAAAAATATCTAGTATCCGAGCATGCCTTTCACAAGATAAACTCAGGCGAACGTCGATGATAGGACGTTGAAATATTGAGTGCATACAAGAGGGGGTATGAGGCTGACATGCATGATCAGCGCGGTACACGGGTAAGCGCCCCTTGAAATTAGGCTAAACGCGGGCACTTTCGGTATTGAGACCTAGAGCTTATGTAAAAGGTACTGATGGGATAGTTGAGGATGAAGAACGAACTTTGACATACTTACATGAAGATAGGTGTAGTCAAAGATCGATCTCTGAGTGGCCATGGCTCTAGTGACGGCACTAAAATAGCACTCTACTATGGACCCTGAGCTAGCTTTTGCAAATCAAAATAAGGCGTAAACAAAACTGTATTCCCCGCATAAAATGTATTGGAATTCTCAGAGTGTTTCGTTTTCGGATCGTTCAGGTTACGTAAAGCCTGGCTGTACTCTGGATGATACGATAAACTGTATTTTCAATGCACACTCTCGGTAATTGGCTTCCTACACATCAGGCAACCAATACTCGGCACAGCTTTATTATATGAGATGACGCCACCAATCTAGGTGCCCCTGGAGTATGAGAGCCTACCATGCCAACGCAAGCAAGTCCTTTCTACGAACGTACTCAGCATGCGCATACTTGAATAACCACAAGATCACCCAAGATAGGCAACACCACTTGATTTACAGCGACCATCTCGCATTTGGTCGAGTATGGATACCATTGTTAAAGGAAAAAGGTCAGAAAGTTATAAATACGTTCCCATGAAATGGGCTAATGATTGAAAAGGCAGCTGCATGTGCAGTAAGTGATATGCAAGCCGACTACATTGTTTTAGGGAAACAGCATACCCGTGCAATAGTTAAGTTCAGAGTACGGGCGATTTCTTTTCGCTACACTACCTCAGATCTGGAACTCGTACTATGATCGCTGCCTCTTCGAAGGATCTCGATACGGTCACGTGACCAATCGTGGGGGCCAAAAGATTCTTTAATGACCTCATGTCAACGCGACATCGATTACTCTTCAGGGCAGTAAAATCTTGCCTATCTACTTGATATACAAAGCTTAACACCAGAAGACATGGAGCGAGAGGTATTGCTCTGCTGGTAGCAGCAGATTCACACAATCACCAAGCGCGTGACGGCTTCTGCCCACAACTACTTAGCGCTGTAACCGAGCCCAACAATATCGCCATGCCAACTGCACGGACAAGGGTTTCCCATTAGTCGTGTCGCATAATACGTGTCGTCATCAAGATATTTTCGCAGTTAAGGCCAGGCAAAGACATCACCAACCTCAGAGCAAGATACCACAATGATCTGATAGGATTTGCCACCCGATATCTCTTGCCTCAGCCGTGCCGCCAAGAAATCTTCAAGTCATCGCGTTTCCCGTAGTTGCTCCTAAAAAGATATATACGACTATGGATACACCCGAGGGACCGAAGCAGAGTCTGCTCAGAAAAACATTTGTGGACCCATTTCGAATTTCCATATCAAAACGCAAATCAAGTGTAACCGTCATACCCACAGTAACTTCCTTACCCAATCTCCAAGACCCTCTAGACGCGCTACCCGCGCTGCAATATGGCCCCCTGGACCCAACCAAGAAGACCATCAGACTCCTGGAAATAGTACTTGCACCAGAGTACGAGCCAATCCAAGCAAAACTCTCAACATGCGACCTGGACGAGAAGCCCGCGTTTATTGCACTGTCATACACATGGGACAAGGGCGGTCAAAGAAAGATCATGGAAATCGGAGGATCAAAGTTCACAGTCGGAGAGGGCTTGTGGAACTTTCTTAGACAGTACCGCAAAAAGGAGTATCTGCGACAAAGCTCGGAAAAGGATCCAAGTAAACCCATGCCACTGTGGATTGATGCCATTGTCATTGACCAGAGCAACATGGCAGAACGCAACCACCAAGTTTCTCTCATGCGCGATATATACACTGGCGCCGAATCCGTCATTGTGTGGCTTGGCCTCGCCACGGGAACGGAAGAATTAGCCTTTATGCTTGCACGACATCCATATCTGCTACGGGTCGAGGAGTTCCATCACGCCCTAGCAACCGTACTCGAAAAACCGTATTGGGGCCGTGTATGGGTAGTCCAGGAGTTTGTACTCGCGCAATGCGTCGACATATGGTGTGGCGATTTCAGCGTCGACGCCGCAGTCGTTGAAAATATCTGGAAAGATGGATTGACGGCCAAGCCGATTATATCTGCTGCAAGGCAGATCTATGCGAGTCGTGGGTACTTGTTGTTCAAGTACCGACGGGATTTCAAGCACTCGAAGCAGTATAGGAGAGAAGTCATGGGGCGCCGAAACAGCCGGACGTTGAAAGCTACGTTCCGGCTGCGCGACCTTCTACAAGCGTTTGCTTCATCCCAGAGCACAGTCGAACATGACCGTGTCTACGGGTTCCTGGGTGTAGCATCAAAGGGGCGTGGGGAGAAGATTCTACCCGACTACAGCAAATCAGCAGTGGAGCTCCTCGTCGACGTCCTCCGCAACCAATGCAACAGCGACCACCGAGGCGGCGACAAAGACGACTACAAATTCCTTGCCTTCCTCACCCAAGCCCTCAACGTCTCACCCGAAAAACTCGCACAACACGTACTACAACTTTGCCCCCAAGTCCAGCCGCATGTCTACGTCTTAACAGCAACACCGTGCATGACAGCCTCCATATCCTTCGTCAGCACCATAACCGAAGTGGGCGACTTCGTCGACCACGACGAAGCCTTTCTCCCAAAAACCTGGAGCCCAGGCTGGACGCGCTCAAACATGCACCCAAAATCGCTATCTAGCCAAGACATCCTCGATCTCGGGGATCTCGTCACAAAAGACGGGACTGACATCTTGCTCAGCTTTGCGGATCCATACGTGCCGTACGGCAACCCCGGGCCGTCGCAAAAGGTACGCCAGTCCATTATTGAAGAGTCGACGGATCTGATTATCACGGGGCTGATACGCGCGACTGCGGCGCGGGATGCGCAGCCATGGGGGGAGGCGGAGACAGGTAATGGGAGTATAGTTATGCGTGACATTATCAAGCGGAGCATGACGAATGATGCTATAGAACTGTATATGGAGGCCAGAAGCCACAGACTGAGCCGACGAGATACGGATCAGCGGCACGAGCGGTACACGTCGTTTGTGGGTACGAATGGCATCATTGGGCTTGCGTGTGGAGGTGGTCTTGGATCGTATGAGGTGCGACCTGGAGATCGCATATGCACTTTTTCGGGTATTACCGATGCAAATAATGCGTTCATTCTGCGTCTGAGTGCGAGCGGTAAGTGGCTGATTTCGGGGTTTGCGATTATTCTTTTACCTGAGCTGCGGACGCCGGCAGTGGCGCGCAGTAGCAGCGATGCTATTCGGAAACAGTCGTTCTTGAACGATACGACGCTGTGCTTCCACTGCCATCTGAGCGACTTGCTTGAGTTGCAGCGGTGCCGGATTTTGAGTCAGGTACAGATGAGTCGCCTGTTGGAACAGACGCTTCAAGGGGGAAGGACGCATTGTTGTGCACAGGGAAGTGGGGAGTATGATGTATTGGAGTTTGAGCTGTAGCTGTTGCTCAGATAATGTAATTTTCGGTGTATACTTAACTACTAGTCCTATGTTCATTTCTTCATCAAAGCAGCTTTTCATGCTGCAGATTTCTAGCAATTCAGCATGCTGTGCCTCACTTCTTCAACCGTTTCCAACATCCATTGTTGCTTCCTGACAGTATGTTTTCATATCTATTGTGACTTCTTCGCCTTGGCCTGAGCACCGGTGAAGCCCATGCCGTAGTTGTAGACCAGCTTTCCACCCAAATGGGCGGCAAACAGGGTGGCGGGAAGTGCCAACACACAGCTGGCGAGGATGTTTGTGCTGGTGGGCTCGAACATGGGGCGGCTTCGGCGCGTCCACCAGTTGAGGGCTGCAGCGACAACGGTAACGTCGTTGATCGCAGCATGAGCTATGGCGATCTTGGCCTTGCGGGAGTTGAGGCCGTCGCGCTTGATAAGCGGCATCAATTGAGAGGCGCCAGTCATGACGGCGGGCACGGAGAAGGCGATTGTGAGGATGGTGAGATAGTAGCTGAAGAAGGGGAACAGCTGTGGGGCGAGTTTGATGTCAAGAGTCTTGTCTGAGGAGCAATTGTCAGTACACGAGGTTCCCTGGCTGGGATTGAAGCTACTTGCAGATGGAGGCCACAGTCGAAGACGTGGCTGGATACTTGTAAAAGAAGTAAAACGCATCCAGAGCACCCGTCAAGAGGGTCGTGGTGATGGGAAAGTGCACGAATGCTGGGTGGGCTGGGAGAGACATGTTGAGGGATTCTAACAAGCAAGCCGAAGGTCGTGTAGGAGAGATGTCGATGCAGGTGCTTTCCAGTGAGAGGTGACCCGAGGGTGGGCGTCTTTACTTATACAGGCAATCGATAAGCGAGAGATGCAGAAAGCAATGTGCTGAGCTTACTCGGACCGTGGGCGTGAAGTTTCAAAGCTGCAAACAGGCGGTCTGTTTCCGCAAAGCACAACGGAGAGCCGAATCGAGTGCGTATTGTGCTCCCATTGCAACAGCGATGCTATTCCAATTCACTCGTGATTTTGCTGTGTCGTCACCATCACCAAGTCCGGACGTCACACAAAGAAGAGGC